AGCCGCCAAAATCAGCCCAGTTCAGCTGTTTGTCTCGTCCCGCTCACCCTAAACAGCGCTCAGAGTGGAGACACGTGGAGAATTCACTTATCCGGCTCTAACGGGGGATTAGCGGCTGATGGAATATTTCTCCGCAGCGCATTTGATGTGCAAAGCAAAATCGAAGCGCAGGCCTGATGTTGTATCGAGCTGGATGTAATTGCAGGCGCCCCCGCTAGAAGAGGAACCTTCCTCAGAGCCTCTTTAATATTTTAAACCTCGGCAGGCTGCCTCTGTGCGCAGGACCGGCCGCGCCTGACTCTGCTAATTCAGCCGTGAGAGCGCCTATCGGAGTGTTTGTTTAGCCGGCCGGGCCTACACCTGAGGAACCGGCTGTCAGAAGACATTAGGCTGACGTCCCCCGAGCAAACCGTCCATGTCAATGAGAGAACACCCTACACAGATACCCTTGAAGTGCACGTCCACTTCAACGTCCCTCAAAGAGCATGACCAGCCCCAAACTTCGTTTATTTAATTCATTATTTATGCACAGCCATAACATTAAAACCATCTCCTTATATCTACACTCACTGTCCATTTTATCAGCTCCACTGACCATATAGGTGCACTTTGTAGTTCTACAGTTACAGACTGTAGTCCATCTGTTTCTCTGATACTTTGTTAGCCCCCTTTTACCCTGTTCTTCAGTGGTCAGGACCCCCATGGACCCTCACAGAGCAGGTACTATTTGGGTGGTGGATCATTCTCAGCACTGCAGTAACGCTGACGTGGTGGTGGTGTGTTAGTGTGTGTTGCGCTGGTCTGAGTGGATCAGACACAGCAGTGCTGCTGGAGTTTTTAAACACCTCAGTGTCACTGCTGGACTGAGAATAGTCCACCAACCAAAAATATCCAGCCAACAGCGTCCTGTGGGCAGCGTCCTGTGACCACTGATGAAGGACTAGAGGATGACCAACACTAACTGTGCAGCGGCAGATGAGCTATCGTGTCTGACTTTGTCAGAGACAATAATTAATGTTCTTTTTTCTTTATTTGAGGGTCCCATTTTGTAGGGCAAGATTTCAACCACTACCCTGTAACTCAGTTCCAAGGGGTTAAGGTGACCCTCAAAAACAAGGGGCAGGGGTAAAAAGAAGAAATGGGACTGGGCCTTAGACTACCTCATGTTTTTGCATTAGAAGTTCTTGTGTAGTCTGTAAACGCTGTTAAAGTCTGAAAATGTTCAAAAAGAAACATTTAAAATACAAGAAAAATGCTGGATATGGACCCTTTAATTTATTGCCAAATGTAATGAAACCAAAACTATTATTACATAAATATAATGTGACATCTGGTTCCTATCACCACCACTGAACAATTCTGACTCTGTAAGTTTCTCTAGAACAGAGCGTTTCACACCAAACCACTCTGAACTCTGTTTACACCTTAACCAGTTAATTAGACAGAATTTTGAAAAATTATTGCTATTTATAACATTTTGTTTATTTTCCAATTGCAAATAAATCAAAATTTAGTGCACATTTTCTATTTATTTGATGAAATACACTGGCGGGAAAAAAAACAAAACAAACCCAAGGGTGCTCAAACCTTTGCACATGCTAAATTTGAAATATTTTTATGTTTTATTTTATTACAGTATGTTAAATTCAGTAAATAAACAGCAACTGGGCATTAAAATGTGCAGAAGTGTGAGAGGATGTGTTCAATTATTTACACTCAGAAAAATCAACAACATGATTTGACCAGGGGTGCCCAAACTTTTGACTGTATAGAAGCACATGTGAGCTCTAACACTGCTGAGAAACCTAGTTTTCTCTGCAAACATGTCTGAGATATTAGAGATACAGTGTAGGACTGTATCTCTATGACTGGAGGCCTTGATTGAATACCTGTATATTAAGATTCAATAAAGCAAGAAAACAAATATGCACATGTTCAGAACTTCAGCCGCTACATGGAAAAGAGAGAGAAAAGTGGTCAGAGTTTCATATTTAGGCCACTGTTTGTGTAATCATGGGATGAATCCATTATTAATACAGATTTGACTGCACGGCTCCGAGCCCCGAGTAAAAGGACGCCATCAGAAGGCAAAGTCTTACATAAACATGCACTCGAGAGGAAAAAGAACACTTCCAGAACACGGAGCCCTTCATACCTTCATATACAGAGGAGAAGGAAATGAAAACGCCTCTATTCTGGATGTTGGCATATTTGTGTGATACTTTTCATGTATGAACTTTACTTTTGTGCCCGATTATTTTTATATTAAATAATTTTATAAATGCACAACAAACCGCATTATTCTACAACACCTTAATGTAAATACATTTTCAAGGAAGAAATAAAATTCATTTAAATCTGAAAGTGTCATGTGGTGCGGCCGTCCAACCGCACATGAACAATATATAAACAGTTAAAAAGGGTAAATTATTTATATACAATTCTAATTAAAATAGATTTACAAAATAGAGCAGCTTTAAAAGCACTTCACTAACTGAAATACATTTGTCTGTAATTTCTGATTTCCTCAAATAGTCATAAAAGGACTTTTATTCTGAAAGAGTGGAGATAGTACTGCCTTATGAAGACCCCAAAAGACCTTCATCGTGCAACGCCAAGGTTAGTAGCCCTTTCACAAATATTTAAAACAACAACAACAACATAAAAAGTTATTTTTGAGTGGTTAGGCTGGTTCAGTTTACTAAGTCAGATGGGGCAACTCCAGAAAAAAAAATATTACTATTATAATAAAAATATATAATAATAATATATAATAACTAATCAAGGATGAAGATTTATACAAGGGGTCTAAGTCAGAGGCTAGATAATACACATACACTGGTATAAAAAAATACACTGGACTGAGAATAGTCCACCAACCAACAGCGTCCTGTGGGCAGCGTCCTGTGACCACTGATGAAGGACTAGAGGATGACCAACACAAACTGTGCAGCAGCAGATGAGCTATCGTCTCTGACTTTACATCTACAAGGTGGACTGACAAGGTAGGAGTGTCTAATAGAGTGGACAGTGAGTGGACACAGTGTTTAAAAACTCCAGCAGCACTGCTGTGTCTGATCCACTCAGACCAGCACAACACACACTAACACACCACCACCACGTCAGTGTTACTGCAGTGCTGAGACTGACCCACCACCCAAATAGTACCTGCTCCGTGAGGGTCCATGGGGGTCCTGACCACTGAAGAACAGGGTAAAAGGGAGCTGACCATTTTCTGGTATTTATGAATTTACAAAAGCTATGAAACAAATATGGTAAAAAAGCACATTATATCCTTTTTAACACGATGTTTTAAATGATCATTATTTGTCACCGACTCATCTTCAAGTCAAATTCAGTGTTGTGTTTGGAGGATAATGTAAGTGGCTGTTACTGGATTTCCGAAGGTTCTGCACTCGAAAAACCAACATCACGTCCACTTTCTGTGACTACATACAACACAAAATGACCTGCATCCCCCCCCCATACTACTGTTCAACACAACAGTGTGTATTAAAGCATGAAACTAAAAAAAAACTAAAAAAGGTCATAAAAGACCCTGAAAATGAGCTCAAAATCAAAATAAATCATAAAGCAATGTGGGCAGTGTATTATTTGTTCTATTCCCAAAATAACCAACAAAAACTAGGCCAGTTCTTCTCTCTCAGTGTTTACTTTAGAGATTTTTACTGTTGTGCATTAAAAACAGCAGGTCACACCAATGACCAAGCGTTTTAGGTGAAAATTTGATGTGAAACAAGACTTTACACTTTTATGCAAGTTAATTTCTACAAATGCATAAAAAATGTCAGTGCCAGGTTACAAATACGTAAAATATATAAATATAATATTGTGATGAGAAATATTTTCCCAAGAGTTTGTCAGCAGTGTTACAGGAACGTTTTTAAGACTTGTTGGAAAAACTTCTTGTATGAATGTCTCAAAGGAAGAAAGCCTCACTCTGAAAAGTCCACAGTGAGTGAATCACTGGTAAATTTAGCTAAAATACTACCACCTTCATGTGTCGCAGAAAGACTGTGTTAGCGGTGTTACTCATTATTTCAAAACTGAAATAAAAACAACAACATGATTGCAGTGTTTATCATTTTCTACATAAAATGTGGCTCTGAAATTAAAGATGAAATTACTATTTTCAGAAAAAACTCATTTCAGAAGTTTCGTCAGCGGTTTTCCTAACATTCCTCATAATAACAAGATTACGCTAAACATCTGTACCTCGTTTCCAATGCTAGAATGACCCCTGTAGTTATAAACACCACCAACTTAGCAGCAAATAAACACCAACTTGTGAACAAAAGGAGAAACGTTACGCAGGAAAGTGATGTAGTACAGTATTAGTACAGTATTATCTGCTGTTACTGGAGTCTTTCTGAAGATGCTGCACTCAAATCAGATCCTGGTTAATTTCTCAGGTTAATAAACATTTTTAAACACTCTCCATTTACAAAAACGGCTCAAAGGAACCATCCACCAATATCGGAACCAAAAGTATTTCTTCTACGTGAAATATTTAATAAAAATCAATGTATTCAGAATGTTTGATAGCACTTCTTGCTAAAATTTGCCAAAAATGGGAATCTTTTCTGCTCCAACTCATCATGTCTTTACAAAATCAAACACTGTGTATCGTGGAAATATCAAGTATCATGATATTATTGCAATATCGCCCATCCCTGCTCACGCTTTAACCATCTGTGGGCAGTTTTTTACTGATTTAATTCATTCTTGCACCACCAGTGCATTGATTTCATCAATAAGCTTCCTAAAACTTCTTTGCATGGCTGTTACTTTGTGTGTGGATCTTTAAAAAGCTATAAATCAGAATAAAAGGGTATAAACTGATGTATTTCAGTTGCCAGTGGATCTTCAGAGGACGCGGATGCTTATTTCTCCAGAACACCAAGCTAGAGTTTGGCTTCTTAGTCTAAATTAGACCAAGCAGCCACCTTAAACCACCTTTCTAGCAGAATAACTCGTACCTGGAGTTGGAGCTGTTCCAGTAGACCGCATGCCTGTCCGAGACCATCCTGTCATCCGCCCAAACGGACACCCAGCACATCACCATCAGCACCAACGCTGGCACCTCCATTGGACCGGCTGGCGGAGAAAACTCTTCACCTTCTAGAAAACCTCCTGCACAGTCTTGGTACTAACAGAGGTGGTCTTCTGTCTCCCTTAGAGACCTCCTACGTTCGCACCTGCAGCCATAACTACTCTGTTCTCATCCCAGCTCACTTTTGCTTATCTTCTCCTGCTGGGAGGCAGTTTGTGGAGCCCATTTCACCAGAAGATCTCATGCTAGAACGTCGCTCAGGGGATTAAATCCTTGGAGGAAAGGCGTCCTGGAGCACAGCGTCCAGAAACAGCCTTAGAACTTGGTACCTGGACTCCACGTGAGGTGTGTCCACCTGAAGCAGGACTGGATGTTCTCCTCGATGTTCTCCAACGCCAAAGTCCAGCAAGTAGCACGTTCCTCGCTCTGGTTCTCCAAACAGCTTCGTCCCAAGGCTGTTAGAGGCTCAGCACATCCAGGAAAACATCTCTCCACACAAACAAGCGTCTGTAATCCCAGAGCGAGGGCCAGAGGCTCTGCACGCACCTCCACCTGCTTTCAGCCTCTCGTCGAGTCCGTCCTCGCCTCAAAGCCGGCTTCAACTCCCTCACCTTCCCCCAGGCTCCAGTCTGAAGTCTCAGCCCGGCTCCTCACATCTCCAGCTCCATGCCCAGCACTGCCAATGCTGAGTAAATGCACTCTAAACCCGCCCACTTCCCTCCAGAGGGGCGTGGCTTCAGGGCATGCTCACGCCAATCAGCTCTTTCCTTTAGTATACCTTTAGCCTGGTGTTACAAAACATACAGGGTCTATTCAGACCAACATTTCAATAAAATGTCAATTAATTAGGCACTAATTAATTAATTAATTCCACTAATGGGGAGCCAAAAGAACCAGTAACGCACCAGTGCAGTTTCCCGAATCACTGGGGTAAATATCTGAAACCATTTTATTACCACATTTATACATTTTTATCGTCATAAAGGATTTTAAATGCTTCTACAGCGTTTCAGTCAGGGATTATAATGTAAACGCGTCTGTTCTCAGCTTCAGTGAAGTTGTGGATGAAGTTTGGTACAAGTGGAAAGTGCGCCCCCTGCTGTCCAAGATCAACAACTGCTCCTGTTTTCTGAAATGCTTCATTAGAAACACCCACTTTGTGATTTCACTAACTGGCCGCTTTATTAGAAACACCCACCTTGTGATTTCACTAACTGGCCACTTTATCAGAAACACCCACCTTGTGATTCTACTATCTGGCCACTTTATTAGAAACACCCACCTTGTGATTTCACTCACTGGCCACTTTATTAGAAACACCCATCTACTGCATTTATCATTGGTCAGTTTCTGAGCACAGGGCTGCTGTTGTCCAGATGTTATGAGGGCAGTGGTCCACTTTCAGCACAGCAGTGACACTGACATGGTAGTGTGTGTGGTGCTGGTATAAGTGTATGACGTCAGAGTCACTGCTAGGCTGAGAGTGGACCACCACCCAAGCCAGGATCATCTCTGTGTTCAGAAACTGACCACTGATGGAACACCAGAAGATGGACAATACAAACTGAGCATCAACAGATGAGCTGCAGTCTCTAACTGTACACCAGCCAGGTGGAGCCACAACAGAGGGGTTTCTGATAAAGTGGCCAGGGTACAGATTCCAGTAGGCATGTGTTGCTTAACACTAGTAAACAGGCTGTTATTGATATCGTGTCTTTAAGACTGATGCATATAAATGAGCTGTGTTCTGATTGGCCGGCCTGTATTGTGCCTTATTCAAACAGCAGTCCAGGCTGAAACCAGACCCCCAGCCTTTCCAAAGCACTTCCCTGGAAGTGAGCAGCTCAGGCTCTGGAGGACCATCTGAGAGAGGCTCTCCATTCACTTCAGGCTGAAGTCAGTCCAAAAATAAAGGCACAGCTGAGGAGTTTTACATCACCATACGGCCCTGTCCTCCTCTACAGACACTGGACTGTCTGTCGTTTTATCCACTCGACCAGCACTTTATACCTTCACAATTAACGTTTATCCACGACAGTACAGGAAATGTGATGAAGCTGCAACTCGAAAGACTGAGCAATCATTTAAACCCTATATTTCATCGAAAATACTACAAAGACAACATTTCAAATGTTTAAACTGAGACATTTTATTGTTTTTTGAAAAACATTTGCCCATTTTCAATTTGATGCCAACAACAGGTTCCAAAAAAGTTGGGATGAGGGCAACAAAAGACTGGTAAAGTTGTGTAAAGCTAAAAAAAACCCACCTGGTGGTTGATTGACAACAGGTCAGTAACAAGATTGGGTATAAAAGAGCATCTCAGAGAGGCTTTCAGAAGTAAAGATGAGGATGACGTCTTTTTCAGGGAAGGCCTTGATTATTTCAGCACTACAATGCCGAACCACATTCTGCATGTAGTAAAAGAGTCCGGGTGCTAAACTGCCCTGCCTGCAGTCCAGACCTGTCACCACTGAAAACATGTGGCGCATTATTAAATGAAAATTACGACAAATGAGCCCCTGAACTGATGAGCAGCTGAAATCCTGTATTAAACAAGAACAGGAAAACATTTCAGTTTCTAAACTACAGCAGTGTCTCCTCAGTTCCCAAACACTTACAGAGTGTTGTTAAAGAAGAGGGGATGAAACACAGTGGTAAACACGCCCCCGTCCCAACTTTTTTGGAATGTGTTGTTGGCATCAAATTGAAAATGGGCAAATATTTTTCAAAAAACAAAATTTCTCAGTTTCAAGATTTGATTTGTCTTTGTACTATTTTCAATTAAAAACAGGGTTTAAATGATTTGCACATCATTGCATTTTGTTTTTATTTACATTTTGCACAAACTATTTTAGAAATGGGGTTGTAGAAGCTCCTCATTAATACAAAGAACAGAACGGGTTCAGCTTACAATAATATTATTACTATTACTGCAACTGCAATAAAATAGATTATTTACAATTACTGTTTATTTTATAACTGAAGATGTGTTATACCCTGTTAGACATGAAGGTTCTGTTCAGGTATTATAAAAAACCTGCAGTAGCCCTAAACTGTTTACCACTATTCAAATATACACTGTTAGAAATGAAGGTTCTGTTCAGGTACATTTTACGTTCATCAAGGTACAAACAGTGTAAATGTTCCCTCAAAGCTCCAACAGTGGTTTTAAGGTCTGATTGTGATCCTTAAATAAGTTTTTCCAGGTGAAAAGTTTGTATTTGTACCTTTTCATAACCGAATGTTTTAAACAGAACAGTAAAATAAAAGCCTGGAGGCGAGACGGGGTGTGTGGAGTCAGTACAGCTTAGAACATATCATTTCAGTGGATTATGGTTCAGTTATGTTCCCTGACTGAAGGTACTGAGATGGAGCCTTGAGGGTTCCACCCCAGTGAGAAGAGGGGAACTGACCCAGTGACCGTTTAGTACCTTTTCTGAGAGTGTAGGTAAGAACAGAATCTACACACTCAAATAGCACAAAGGTGAGAACAGTTATTCGCTTTAAGAACGTCACGAACCTGATGCAGCTTTTTTCTTAGAACCTTTCTCAAGAACACATTTAAGAACAAACTCAGGAAGATACTGGAGAATGAGGCCTAAGGAGTGTTTGGAACACTGTGCTGGAGTCACGAGTTTGACTCTTAAATGGTTTATCTCCAATATTAAAACACAGGATCTTCTCAGTTAATGCTGGGAGATACTCCTCTGCATCTGGGAATACAATATCTGGGGTTCCGCAAGGCTCCATTTTAGGCCCTCTCCTTTTTTCGCAATACACTGTCAGAAATAAAGGTTCTGTTCAGGTACATTTTTTGTTCATCAAGGTACAAACAGTGTAAATGTTCCCTCAAAGCTCCAACAGTGGTTTTAAGGTCTGATTGTGATCCTTAAATAAGTGTTTCCAGGTGAAAAGTTCGTATTTGTACCTTTTCATAACCGAATGTTTTAAACAGAGCAGTAAAATAAAAGCCTGGAGACGAGACGGGGTGTGTGGAGTCAACACACGCCTTTTGCTCTGAGGGAGTAAAACAGACCTCTGAGTTCTAATATATACCATCAAGGGCTGAAACAGTCCTAACAATGTTAGCATGAATGGGCGGAGCTAAAGTGCTGTAGGCTGAATAGATTCATGACATCACAACACAAATTTAACTGAATTTACATGCACAGACTGGGTTCTGAAGCTTTCTAATACAGTGCCTTTGGGGACAAATGCACCTCTTTTATATGCAGAATTACGATCTATCTAAATAAAAAAAATCTGCAAAACTATAAACACTAATTCTACTTCTATTCCAGAAAAAATAAAGAAAAAACAGTTTTTCTTTAAATAAACAAAAAATTCTGGAAAAATCCTGAAGCAAAAGAAAAAAAGCAGGTAGTGAATGAACGGTGAGTAAAAAGCTGTGGAAAATGAAGATGTTATTGAAGGAAAAACAGCACAGAAACCAAAGACGAGATGAAAGTGCAAAGTAACGAAAGATTTATTGAGAGCAGAAGAGAACGAAGCAGCGTCGAAGGATGGCTGTTTTCATGGAAGAGGGGCATTTACAGGTACTGACACATCGTGTTGGAATATCTTTAATAATCTGTGTAATAAAAAACATAAGTATTGCTCTACAATGAGCCGAGTTTACGCCGCCTTTATCAAAATATACATAAAGATGTGTGAAAAACAGGTACTTTTTCTTAGGAGAGCAAAAGATGTGGGGAAATTAATATTCACCTATAGAAAAAAAAAGACAAGATGTACAGGCCCAACAACTTCATGGCTCCCTGCTCCCTACATAGTGCACAAAATGAGCACTTACACACCTAAACAGTGCACTATGGGTCAAATAGAACAGTATTCACCACTGAGCTGTAAGCTGCACACATCACTAACGTTCAGTGCTCTGCTTAGTCAGTATCATGACTCATGTAATGGACTATGTAAGGAGTCAGGAGAGCCTGACATTCAGCCAAAAGCTTATTCCAAACAAAACAGGGTTTCAAAACAAAACAAAAAGGCCACCAGGGGGCACTCTTCAAGATTTTGTTTTGGTCTCATCACTCATAAAAAGCTATCTTGAGAACTTGTAATGTCAAAAGAGTGACTGAAGGACATTAATCAGATCAGGAATTAAACTAATTCACACTTTAAACCTATCCTAGATGGACACCTACACCCAATGTTTTAAAATTCTCCCCCTACGAAAAAAAAAAATCCAAAATGTTCTAAAAGGAATGTTTAATACAAAACAAAAAATGAAGGGAAAAGGGAAAAAACCCACACTGGTCGATAACTTGGCCCCCACGAAGTTCAAAGATTCTGATAACGTCACAAAAGTGCCAAAAAAACAATTCACACACGGCGAGAGGCGCCTGAAATTTAAGACATTGTGTATTTGTAAGACATCGTGTGACATAGAGGGAAAAAAAAACAAACAAATCAAAACAGTATTTGCTACAAACAGCAAAAAGACTTCACGACTTGGTCTGAAAGGTCCGAATTCACTCAAATGTAAACAAAAATGAACAGGGCTGGGTATCGACCGAAATCAGCTCTGCTGTAGCTTCTTTTATTGCATTGCAAACTGAAAGTTGGTGTGGCTTCAGTCAGGCTGTGAGACGAAGGCAAAAAAGGTGAGATGAGCTGCTTTTTCACTGCTTATAGGCTTTAACTTCTGGGCCTGCGCTGCTGCCATGGTAACGCTGAATGATGGCGCACGCGCAGCGGAAAAAGCACATGAATTCTGATATTTTGAGGGCGTTTACACGCACTTAAAAATCTGATCACTGCTGAAAATCAGATTGTCACTAATCCGATCAATGCATTTACATGCACTTGAGTAATCAGATAATGGGGAAACTGGGTGTACATGAGTCAGACAGTAATCAGATTTCAGCTTTACCACCAGCCAAACTCAAACTTCATGCAGTGCCTTTTTTTTATTTTTTTTAAACTTCGCGCCACTTTACCTGAAAATATGAACATACATCATCTAGAAGATGAAGAATATTTAAATCATTCATTTCATCAAGAATGTATTTGGTTTCAGTGTTGCTCCAAAAGTGTTTTGCTGCATCTCGCGGCGACGCTGCTCGCTTATTTCCGATACCGCTGTCCGTTTTCGCACGTGCTCAGACTGAGAAATCCGAAAGAAATCAGAGTAAGAGTTTACAGCACTGAGAAATCTGATTACTGAGCTAAAATCCAGCCTCTTTATCAGATTTTTAAAGCGGATTTCTAGATCGGAGCATGGTGTTTACATGACTATTTGAATAATCAGATGACTGCAGAAATCCAATTATAATCGGATTATCGAGTGCATGTAAACACACTCGCTGAGGTCGCATGGCCACAAATCAGATACGTATCCGATCTAGTACCACATATGAAAGTGTCTCAGGCTGGATTTGAAGAGATCAGATGTGTGTGTCCACACAGCCCTGAAAACATCAGATCTGACTCACATTAGGGCGAAAAATCAGATTTGCACCACTTCAACCTGGTAATGTGAACGCAGCCTCAGAGCGGAGAAAGTGGGGCATTTATGGACTAAACGAGCAGCGCTGACGTCAACATGCATACGGAATGCATCTCAGACAGCCAATCAGCAGCCTCGACCGTGGAACAAGCATGCCAACTGACTCACTGATGCCAACAAACTGACTACTGAATTAGAGACGCACAATCTCAGTATCGGAAGATAATTTCTTTGGAAAAAACTAAACTACTGACTTTGGGTGTTTAGATTTGCCCAATATTTCAATCTGATACCTGATGCATTAACTGCACTCCAGAAGTCTGATTTCATTTATTTCACTACAAATAAACTTAGTGTCTCTGTAATTCAAGCTGATGACGTCACAACACCTACACTTTACATACGTCCTTTACTGACGCTGACTGATATGAAAAATCCCTATTTAAGCAGATACATTTCGTACACTAAGAGCAGTGAATTTTGATACCCAGCCCCAAAAATGTCAAAGATTTAGCTATAAAAATTGTGTACACTGATAAAGAGCAACATAAATGCCATTTTTTGCCTCGTTTCAGGGCAGGAAGAAGCCCTCACATGTAAAAGGCTTCATCCGTAAGGCTTGCTGTGGGTTGAAGCTGCCGTGTACTGAGCGTTGGTACAGATTCTCTGCTGAACCACTGAAGGCAATGAACAGAAAAACTACAAGCTGGGTCTCCAAACGTGACGGAGACGAAGCGAGCTAAGGCACAGTGATTGATGGGACAATGCCCAAATAGATCTTATACAGTATAGAAACGATACAAAAGTGTGTGCATCTAAAAAAGATTCATAAATGGAATGAAAACTGCTATATAGTCATATAGGAATACACTTTTAAATGAAGATAAGGACGAGAACCCCAGATACAGCACAACTATCACAGGAACAAAGCTAAGGGATTTAAAGAAGTCTTTCCTAATCATATATTCTGAGGAAGTCCTACGAATGGCCACCGTTTGGAGTTGTAAGAACTGTATGAACTAGCAATTAACACGGACGACAGACGAAGGGCCTGATCTGCAATTTAACCTGAAGTATTTCTGTATTTTATGAACACGAAAAGGCCTCAAACTCTAAAATCCACCATGGATATAAATCAAAGTCCTTTCTCAGAACTAGAATTAAGGCTAAATGCACTTCGACACCAATTAAGGCACAGCATTTTTGAAAGGCAGAATTGATGGGAAGAAAATAAGCATACAAAGGAAAAAAGTACCAGAAATTTAAGTGGTACGATTTTCAAAACTACAACAAATTGAACTTTGTGTAGAACAGCCGGGCAACCTGAAATTGGGTGGGTTTTTAACGACCCGCCCTGCAGAGGCACAGAGTGTAAACTAGGCAGCACATCAAGGATCCCAAAACAGGACTACGTTTCCCAGAAACCCCGTAGGACAGCCACTATCGCTACACAGTGTGCATCATAAACCATATAATATGGAAGACTGTTTAGACCAGCTGAGTATGAGAGGTTAAAACTATTACTTGAGGTTTTCCCCTCAAAATAATGACTTACTTCCTCAAAACTGACTTATTACGTCAAAATTATGAATTTCAAAATGCATTTAACTAAATAATGGCTTAGTTTCCCTTAACTTTGACTTACCAGCTCATAATTTTGACGTAAATACTGTGTCAAAATGAGTTATTACAACAAGGAAGTTATTAGAAAATAAGTCATTAGTCTTAAATTTTCAGAAAATTTTAGAAAACTATATTTTAAGTTCAAAAAAGTTGCAAAAACTGGCAATTTTTCCTCTTTAAACTGACAGAAACAGCTTCCATATAATACAGTGATGACTGATACGCTACAAAGCTTCAGTGAAATGCAGCGCTGCTCTGCACCAACATCAGTGACTAAGCTAAGTCTAAGAGAAGAAACCAGCAGAGAGAGGAAAAAGAAAAAGCTCCATCAAACCCAAATAAAACGCTGGGTCTTCACGGTCTCCTCTGATCTATTGGTTCAAAAGTGGCATCTTAAATAGACAAGCATACGTGTGAATATAGATTTAAGAAAAAAGGAATGATAAAGTGTGTCTTGTGGAAAATCCACAGCATTATAAATTGTGGAAGGCTTTAAGTTTGGTCTAAAGTGACAGTCTCTCTTTCTCAAACCCCCCCCCTCCTAAAACGCTCAGCTCCTGACTGCCCCGCCCTCAGATGGTGGACTTCGAGAAGGAAACGCGGAGGTGATGGTTCTCCCCCAGGTCGTGATTGTGGAACTCGATCAGCGACTCGATCGCCTCCTCTACTGAGCCCATCTGGATGAGCGCCATCTTGTGGTCTTTCCTGAGGGGAACAAAGGAGGAGTCACTTAAAAGAAAAGTAAAAAAAATCAGAAGTACAGTTTTCCCTCTTTACCCTAAATGTAGCTGGCAGCCCAGACATTTATGCTTTTTACACTCTTAAAAATAGTTCAAGGGTTCTTTAGTAAAGAAAATGGTTCTATTTTAGAACCCATGAACACTCAAAGAACCCTTTGCATGCTTAAAAACATCTTTGCATCACAAACTTTTTTGAAAAGAGTTCTAAAATGGCACAAATGAGGTTCGTCTACTGTTACGATGTCAAGCCTGAAACGGTAGAGGAACCCTTTTTGGTGCTACACAGAACCCTTCTCTACACAGAACCATATAAAATACATTCTCAGTCAATCTCAAGAATTTCATGATACACAAAATCATTACAGCATGCAAAGAGTTCTTTGAGTGTTCATGGTTCTGTACAGAACCAATTCTTTTTCCTATAGAACACTTTCCATAATTAAAGGGTTCTCTGCATTGTGAAATGGCTCTTCAAATCGATGGAAAATGTGCTGCAGACAGTTCTATATGGAAGAGAGTTCTATATAGCACCCAAAAGGGTTCTTCCTTTGTTACAAGCTTGACATTGTAACAGTAGAAGAACGCTTTTTGGTCCTACATGGAACATCTGCGTGATTAAAGGGTTCTTCGCATCGTTTAATGGTTCTTCAGGTTGATGGACAATGTTGTATTTGTTTCTACATAGCATCAAAAAGGTTCTACTGTTATGATGTCAAGCGTGTAACAACAGACAAACTTTTTGGTGCTAAATAGAACCCTTTTCAAAAAGGTTCCACATAGACCCATCTGAAGAACCCTGTCACGATGCCAAGAATCCTTTAATCATGCAGAGGGTTCTTTGAGTGTTCATGGTTCTATATAGAACCACTCTTTTTGCTAAAGAACCCTCTGCATGATTAAAGGGATCTTTGCACCGCGAAATGGTTCAAATTGATGAAGAATGTGTGGAAGATGGTTCTATATAGAACAGGGTTCTATGTAGCACCCAAAAGGGTTCTTCCTTTGTTACAAGCTTGACATTGTAACAGTAGAAGAACCCTTTTGGTGCTACATAGAACAGTTGCGTGATTAAAGCGTTCTGTGCATCGTTAAATGAGCTATGAGGCTAATGTAGCTAACAAGTAATGGAAGCTTATGTACACCAATTAGCATGGTGCTAACTGCGTGACTAGATCAGATACTCTCGTCCAACAGCGTGGAGGTGTTCAGCGTCTCTAATAGACTTCATGTGGTTTCGGACACTGAATGACTCACTGATCTATAATCATGGACTAAAGCAGGCACAGTTCAGGCTGCTGTTACTGTTTTAGCTATGCTGATTTAATTAAGTCCATGTTTACAGATAACAGTCTGTCATAACACACAATCAAGTCTTACAGGCCCAGATCAAGTTATCGGCCTCTGGGCACAAATATTTGGTGGGCCTCTACCTGACTGTCCCTTGTGTTGCTCAGGGAACTTCTTATGATGTCGAAACAGGTTATATGATGCTTATCGCTGCTGTCGGAAGAAAACCTCGCATCTCCAAAATGGGTAACTTTACAGGAGAAGGAAAAAACATACTGTACTTTTAATGTAAGTCAATGGAACCAGAGTTTTTTCCATGTCATTTTGGGTCGTTTCTTTTGGTCCATTCTTCATGAAATTTACACACAATGTAAAGAGCAACAGGCATCTTCAAATTGTCAAAAACTGAAAAACGACAAAAACGGAGACGAGGTTTTCTTCCGACAACAGCGATATGTGGCACCATAATGGCAGCATACTAACTGCAGTCACCAGCATCAGCCTATGTTTTCCAACAGAGACAAAATAATGAACATTACTAACATATTAATGAACACATGTTAAACCCAACAACTAATGCAACACTATAAAGCATATGTTCGCTCTTTACCATCAAAACAGCTAAATAAAAAAAAAGACGGAAAACATCAGCAAACTTTGAAACCTCCATCGTCCAGCTTCCTAACCTAAAGCACGCTGCGAAGTCGGGCGCGGACAGTGTTTCTTTCCATTTATATCTTACCTCTGAGTATCCTATTCTGCAGCAACACTGACGTGGTGGTGGTGTGTTAGTGTGTGTTGCGCTGGTCCGAGTGGATCAGACACAGCAGTGCTGCTGGAGATTTTAAACACCTCAGTGTCACTGCTGGACTGAGAATAGTCCACCAACCAAAAACATCCAGCCAACAGCGGATATTTTGAGTGAGTGGACACTGTTTAAAAACTCTGATCCACTCGCACCAGCACAACACACACTAACACACCACCACCACGTCAGTGTTACTGCAGTGCTGAGAATGATCCACCACCCAAATAGTACCTGCTCTGTGAGGGTCCATGGGGGTCCTGACCACTGAAGAACAGGGTAAAAGGGGGCTAACAAAGTATCAGAGAAACAGATGGACTACAGTCTGTAACTGTAGAACTACAGAGTGCACCTATATAGTAAGTGGAGCTGATAAAATGGACAATGAGTGTAGAAACAAGGAGGTGGTCAGAATGTTATGCCTGATCGGTGTAAGCTTCCTTTACTTGTTAGCTACAATAGCCCCGTAACTCCAGTGCTAAACCGTGTCAATAAGAATTTTTGCCAAGCTATTCCTTTAAATCATTTGTATTTTTTTTAATTAATTGGCAACGTGTGATGCCTGAGGTAGGTTTAAGGTAGAAAATGTCTTTCATGACATTCTGGCATATTTTGTTCTGTAAAAAGAAGACAGGAATGTTATGATGCAGGTGGTGGGGTCAGGGTAAGTCAGAGTAAACATTCTCACAGGCCAACTTCGCCCCACAGGCCACACTTCTGGCAGCCTTGCTTTAAAACAAAGAAACGAAAATAAAAGCTTAAGCTCTAGTGAGAATAAAATTCGATAAGGAAACCTACTGGAAAAACTTGAAAGCCTTAACCGTTGCCCCTGAGCTCCGAAACAGCACTCTGAGATCTTCTTCACCAACAGAAGGTCTGGGAACGAGGGAGAGAAAACGCTTAGATTCAATGCATCACATTTATACTGTCAAACACTCCGTATCACTTGTATTGTCCTAGTTTTAAGCCTTGGTTTCAACTGCCTGAGCAGGACATACCAAATTCCTAACAAATCTGGTGGTCGTTAGATAAGTTTAATACGTTATTGCTAACAGAGAATTAAACCTGAGCTGATGGGAGGGGTCCGACAAAGTCAGAGGTCTACATAAAGTCGAGGAACTCACGGGATGTTGGAGAGGTGCAGGGTGGAGGAGGGAGGGAAGATGTTGGAGTAGTTTTTGGAGCCAGGGCTTTTTGAAGCGGTGGAGAGGAGAGTTGCTGTAGTCCTTGGTGAGCCCCTGGTCCTCGTGGCCTTCGCGGGGAAGCTGCACTGTGGTGTGTTTGGACAGGGTGATGCGCAGAGCCTTACCATGGAGCTTCTGACCGTTCAGGTGACTCATGGCTGAAAGGGACAAAGTCCATTCACCAAAAGAGCCAAGCAACACGGCTAAAAACATCCCGTCGAATGGAAAAGGCATGACCTGCACAGCGTGTGACCAAGCCTGTTACTTTCCTACTAAATAATATTTTTAATGCGACTGCATTTTCAATTCATCAAAATAAAATTTATTTTAGGCTACGTTCACATTACCAGGTTGAAGCGGCACAAATCAGATTTTTTTGCCCTAATGTGACTCAGATCTGATGTTTTCGGAGTTGTGTGGACACACAAATCTGATCTTTCCAAGAGCCACTTTCATATGTGGTCCTAGATCGGATACGTATCCAATTCGTGGTCATGTGACCTTAATGTGACGCTCAGATCAGAATTCATGTGCTTTTTTTCCCTCCGCGCCATCATTCAGCGTTACCATGGCAGCAGCGCCGAACAGAAGTTAAAGCCTGTAAACGGTGGAAAAGCAGCTCATCTCTCCTTTTTCTCCTTCGTCTCGCTCTAATAATGAAGCTGAGAGCTGATCAGAGTTAATGATCTTCTCAGCGAAGCTCGTTCTGCTCGTTAGTTTGTGCTGATGATGCACGTGATTCGTTCACGTGACGTTGCTGAGTAGGATAAGCTCATGAGGGTCATTTCAGGACGCCGGTTCGTCACATTAATGACAGATTTGAATCACTTACCTAAACGAGTGTGAACCATCGTGTCAGAGAGATCGGACTTGAGCAAAAAATTGGATTTTAGCAACGAGGCTTGTTATGTGAACGTAGCTTTAGGCGCTTCTGACTCCTAAAAGTCTAAAAACGTTGTGGTGAGACTGTCCAATGCATGCAGATTAAGTGATCAGTTAAAAAATGGTTTATTATACATAATTTAGGTGACCCTACCTAACTGGGCTTGTGTTCCATCTGCCATCTGCACCAGAGCGTTCTCCTTTTTGTTGAACAGGATCTTCACTCTCATGACGTCACCATAGACACCTTAAAAAAAAAGGGAAAAAAGTATGTTGAGGCTCTTACAAGAACTGTCCACAGTAATTAATCATTAGTGGATTATAAATATTCTCTAGGTCCTCAAACATTAAAACCTAATGATCATTTTTATATAGAAAATGATTGCTGTAGAGCATGCACTAAACTATGAACTCTACTTTCCTAACAGATGTTCCAGAAAGACCATCCTTCTAAATCTTTGGGTCTGATTCAATGTCGCCAAACGGCTATTCCTTATTCTACCACTTGGTCTTGAGGGAAACCACATCAGTAATTAATGTTTCATTTCTAAAGAAGATTTTGAGCTAAAATAATCTGGTACAGCATAATCAATCATACGGTAACTGATTGAAGGAACATGCAAACAAATCAAAACATGCAAATCCCTAAAGATGGCTACAGTACGTCTGAAATTGGATGGAGGACATGAGTATGATCTTAGAAAGGAGCAAAAAGATGCAGCATTTCAGTCCCAGAGCACCATAACATGGAATAGCTGCAAAGTGAATTTTCAGTTTGCAGCCAAAGCATCAGAGGACCAACCCCCAGCTCAGCACAGTTAACAGCCAGAGGACTAACCATGCGGCTACCAGCAGAATCCCCCATGTTTGTGTTCTTTCACAACTACTGTTGAAGTTGGACAAGCTTTACAGCATCTATATTTCAAATTATACAACAGTTAGTTCCGGCCACGCAAGCTGATTGGTTGAGAAGCGTTCTAACTGTGCTGTTATTTCACCACAACATCACGTTTTTTTCACGAACGCTGTATCACTCCGCTGAGCCGCCGTCACTAAGCAACGACTCTGACAGCTGTAGGAGACGCTCAAGACATTCGAACGGTTTTACTTCTTACTTTGCCACAAACAGAAAACGGACACTGTTAAGATCACATTTGACCGACAGCCGATTTGGTCAGACTCTGAAGATGAGACGACACTAAATTCCCAAACTGTCATCACCACTGAGCAGCTTTTCAGTCGGCAGCTGTGACAGAAGAACAGCTAAACAACCTGGAATCAGCCAGAAATGAACCCAACACCATTCGCCAAACAGGCTGTAAGATGCTTTACAGACTGGCTGGAACAAAACAACATTAATACTGATCTGGCAAAAAATGATCTAAACTTGATATTGCAGCAGTTTTATGGCTCAGTCTGATTTGTCAGACTCTGAAGATCAGACTACACATTTGGCGAATGGTATTGGGTTCATTTCTGAGCTCATTTTTTGGAGCTCTGTAGTTACTGATCAGCAGAGCGTTGGTGTCTTTTATGCTCTGTGCTCCTCAGCACTCGGCGACCCGCTCTGTAACTTTACGTGGTCTGACACTTCGTGTCTGAGTTGCTGTGATTCCTAAACGCTTCCACTTTTCAATAATACACTCACAGCTGATCGTGGAAAATCAGGAGGGAAGAAATTTCGCAAACTGACTTGTTTCAATGGTGCCATCCTATTACAGCACCATGCTCAAATTCACTGAGCTCTTTAGACCCATTCTTTCACTAATGCGTGTAAAGGCTGGGGGCTTAATTTCAAAAACCTGTGGCAATAAGACTGAATGAAACACTTGAATTCAGTGATTAAGAGGTGTGTCCCAATACTTTTGTCCATATAGTGTATGAAAAAGGAATCTGCTTCCAGCACCAGTTAGTTTCCAAGCTCAGCAGCCCTTTCACAAATACAGAGTGCAGAGTCCACCTGGGTGAACTTCAACCTCAGGAATTCACAGAGTTTAGAAACCTGAACTAAAAGACAAGACAGGCTGCGGTATCTAATTTCTGGGGAAACAAAAAAAAAAAAAGGCTAGGCAATTTATCAAAAATATATCAATACTTTCAGAATATTGTGATGAATCTCAATGTGGAAACACGTGAAACAGATAATGCACCAACAGCACCAAATAAAAAACTGAATACAATGATTCTGGTATATACACTGATCAGGCATAACATTCTGACCACCTCCTTGTTTCTACGCTCATTGTCCATTTGATCAGCTCCACTTACTATATAGGTGCACTTTGTAGTTCTACAGTTACAGACTGTAGTCCATCTGTTTCTCTGATACTTTGTTAGCCCCCTTTTACCCTGTTCTTCAGTGGTCAGGACCCCCATGGACCCTCACAGAGCAGGTACTATTTGGGTGGTGGATCATTCTCAGCACTGCAGTGACACTGACGTGGTGGTGGTGTGTTAGTGTGTGTTGTGCTGGTCTGAGTGGATCAGACACAGCAGTGCTGCTGGAGTTTTTAAACACTGTCCACTCCTACCTTGTCAGTCCACCTTGTAGATGTAAAGTCAGAGACGATAGCTCATCTGCTGCTGCACAGTTTGTGTTGGTCATCCTCTAGTCCTTCATCAGTGGTCACAGGACGCTGTTGGCTGGATATTTTCAGTTGGTGGACTATTCTCAGTCCAGCAGTGACACTGAGGTGTTTAAAAACTCCAGCAGCACTGCTGTGTCTGATCCACTTGTACCAGCGCAACACACAATAACAAACTGCAGTGCTGAGAATGATCCACCACCCAAATAGTACCCGCTCTGTGAGGGTCCATGGGGTCCTGACCACTGAAGAAAAGGGTAAAAGGGGGCTAACAAAGTATCAGAGAAACAGATGGACTACAGTCTGTAACTGTAGAACTACAAAGTGCACCTATATAGTAAGTGGAGCTGATAAAATGGACAATGAGCGTAGAAACAAGGAGGTGGTCAGAATGTAATGCCTGATCGGTGTACACACATGAACAAAGTATGTCCTGTGAATAACTTTCCTATAGCCATTAAACAGCCGATGTATTTTCCCACAATTCTCCAAATTTTGCTGGATGTTTAACATAAACAATTTAATATCATACAAACAGTAACCCTTATTTTGACAAGAGCTGGGTGCTACAGTCTTTTACGCTGAATGGGATTTTTACCAGTGTTCTATCAAGCTTGTCCAACCTCACAACAGCAGGTACTAAAGAGCACCTGAGGGCGAAGCCTGGATGAAACGGTTGCGCTGGATTGAGTTTGAGAGAAAGGTCTGAAACGCTGCACCTTAAAACTCTCCACACTAAAACCCACAAAACGAACCAAAACAATACTCATCTTAAGATAGAACAGTTAAAATATGAAAAAACACAAAAAGGGCAATTAAAAAAGGAAGATGCCAATGATAACATACCGAAAAGAATAAAGAGGCATTGGGGCGTAACGCTCTTTAAAGACAGCAGAGGAAGGCAGCGGAGGGAGGAAGGGACAGGAAAAAGATCGGAGGCAGGAGAGTGGAGGTTGAACATGTCCGCAGCGAGGCAGTTCCACAATGGCGAAAAAACGGTGGTAGGATCATGAAGGTGGGAGATATTTGTTCATGATGGAAAAGTAGGAGGGGAGGGGGAGGTAGATGTAAAAGAGAAGGACATCCAGCAGAGAAAAATGGGATGTTGGTCATTTGTGGGTAAATGTATTGCAGAGTGTAGTCCAATATTGTAATGAATGGAGGGGGTGGTGGGTGGTATCAGTTGAGTTTGGAGGGGAGGGGGGTAAAAAGGACGTGCAGTCAGTTGGCAAAAAGAGAGTCCAGATGAAGATATTAAAACAACAAAGGAGAGGGAGGGGGGGAGAGGGGAAGGGGTAGGGAGAGAAACAAGAGAAAACAAAGGAAGTTTAAACAAAGAAAAAACACAAGGTCAGTATACACAAAGAAATGTAGTGTTCCAGTCACAGCAGAACTCGCTAAAATTAAATGCCTCTCACTAGAGGAACACTAAGAAAAAGAGAGAGGAGAAAAGATTAACAATGAAATACAGAAAAAGGCAAAGAGACAATATAAAATCACAGATCTAAAGGAAGACTATAAATGAAAAAACGTTTCAGATGACTTGAGACAAGAGTTAAAATGTTCAGAAAAAAAAGCCATCGGTCCCTTCTCTCTGTTATAAACGCTGTTTTGAGGACTTAGCCAAATGTTTTTTGTAAATTTCGGCATAATTAAACGGTTGAGATGTAAACAAAGTCGTTCAGAGTGGCTTGGCATGAAACACTCCCTTCTGGAGTTCACAGTGGTGGTGATAGGAACCAGACGTCCACCTCTAAAAGCTCCTTCACAGAAAGTTACTACATCAAATGGTTATGAACTCACTTCGATGTCAGACATTGCCAATTATGCTCGTGGGTATATTTCAATTTTTCTATCTGAATTTACATGCCCAAATCGTAAGGCAAATTATTCAGTAACTATTTATTAAATAACTAAATTATTAAAATAACATTTTTTTTAAGCTCCTCTCAAATTAACAGAACATGATTTATGATCATAAACATACTGCTATATGCTTACAATCTACTGCTGAAAGCCAAAAATCTTAGACGCTCTTTGTATTATTTTTATAAAAGTAATGTTTACAGAGCAGATCACTGAAGAGACGCCATCTGTGATCCAGTTCGTAGCTCAGATTTGTGGAAAAATGGGTCGACTTTCAGTAGAAAAGTTCAGCTTCTTTTATTATAAAGTTTTAAAATTACATCACCCATCTATTTGACTGGAAAGAAGACAGTTACAGCTCTCATACAACCCCCACCTTTAGAATGTAGCTTATGAAATATGAAAGTTATGAAGAATATGACGAAGTGCGTTTTGGAACCACCGGTGGTCCCAAGGAGTTAAAGAGGTTGATCAAAAAGATGATTTTGGATTAAAATGCATTATTAGAACGAAACTTCAGATTTACTACTATTTTACAATCAACACTCCATATGAACTCAGAAGACTCGTGTAGGTTCACTGGTGGTTCTGGATAGTAAATAAAATGTCTATAGTTGTGTTGTAGTCATGGCGACCCCTGGTTCTCATCACCACCACTGTAAAGACCTCTGAACCATTTCTCTACAATCAAACCACTCTGAATGACTTTGTATACATCTACTAACTTATAGAGAAACTGGGAAATCAGTTGATTTTTTTAATGGCAGAAGTCATGAAGCGAGCTCCTTCACCATCTACCCCACATGGACCAAAATCAGTGATACAGTTGGTATCAATAGGAGGTTGTTGTGATTAATGAGTGACTATTTTGGTGACTAGAAGCTAAATAAGTAAAGAACTAAACTCTGCAGAAACTGAAAATCAAGTTTTATTACCAAACCAAATTATCCCTAAAATAATTTAGTGAATGGTGTATTAAATCGTCCCCCTATTCAGGCTTATATGATCTAATTACATATACGTGTGGAGACTCATGTAGCACTAACCTCAGGGTTGAGGTTGCTGACCAGCAGAACGCTGTGTCCTCCAGGGCTGAGGCCGGACAGGCCGAGGCGTCCGGCAGCGGCGGCCGCAGCAGCAGCTGCCGCGGCAGCACCGGGGACGCCGAGAGAGGCCAAAGCTCCAGCAGGTACACCAGGCAGAGACAGACCTGAGGTTGGATACAGGACTGTTAGCAACATGCAAGAGAGCATTTCATTAACATAAACAGGCCCAAATCATCATATGCCAGAGTATTAAAGCATACCGAAACAGCAGTATTCAATGGGTGCATCATTAGCATGTACACCGGTCAGGCATAACATTATGACCACCTCCTCGCTCAGTGTCCATTTTATCAGCTCCACTTACTATATAGGTGCACTTTGTAGTTCTACAGTTACAGACTGTAGTCCATTGATCTCTGTATTAGATGGGTCCGCAAACTGTTTGAGACCAGGGGCCGTGTTACAGAAAATTCTTAAGTCTGAGATCTGCTTTGTTGCCATGGCAACTTCAGTTAAGATTGAAGTTAAGGACAGAAGCCACTACAGAACAGTTCTTGAGTCTATAAATCTTATCCCATTTCCAGATAAGAAAACTGTATTACAGAAACATCCTAAGTTGCCAAAATATCCTAAATATTTTCGTAACTTTAAGATAAACTCAGAGCGTCTTAACTTCTGTTTAACCGTCTGTTTCTATTGTTTTAGGCAGTAAGAGGCGGCACAGTCCACTATAGCGTTTTAAAGATCTCAGGCGCTGCAGACTCGATCTCCACCGCCCCTCTGATCACCTTCGTGTGTTAATGTTGATGATGAAATATTACAGTGATGGTGGTGAATAATGAGGAGACGGAGCTGAACGTGTGTCTGTTTATTAGGAGGAGTAACGTTAGTGCGCTCGGCTAAAGCGTTTGGGAAATGGAGACTGAAACTGTGGGGCAGTGACTCTGATAAACAGCAGGGGGCGCTGACACAATATTCTTAACTATCAGTTTATCACACTTTAGTTTTATCTGACCCTTTTTTTACATCAGTAACGGTAGCTAACGTTAGCTGTCTGGCTAACTAGATTACGTGTTTGTTCCAGCTGTTTGCGCATGGTTGGTTGCCAGGTAACAGACAAGACAGTTGATTGTCGACTTCAATCGAGTAAGTTAAGATTTCCTAACTTGAGATAAGAAAAGATGCTGTAAGATTAGATTCCTGAATTAAGATCAGATTTGCTTCTGTAATACGGAAAATCTTATCTTGACCTGTCAGATCTTAAGGAGAAGAATCTTCTATAATACGGCCCCTGATGAATATGTTGCCTCCGTCTGAGGTTTAAGAGAACTTTTTTCCTATTATCATTACTGAATATCAACAAAACCTTTAAACCGAATAAATCATTCGTTTCTCTACATGTTTAATCCTGATCTGCTGGATGGAGGATCTCCGGGAACACAGCTCCAATCCTAATCTGACGCACCTGATCCAGGTAATGAAGGCTTTCAGGGGCATCTGAATATTAGAGCCAGAGCTGATGGATCTGAACTCTCCATGAAAACCATGATTGGGACTGTCAGCACTATTTGGCTGCAATGCTAATAAGCTTCCATTACTTTTTATCTACAAAATAAACCAAAACTTATGTAAATAACAGACACCAAACATGCTTTGGCTGATTGACAGCATGTGCGGTAAAGAGGGAAACAGCTACAGTGTTCATGTAATAAAATGCAGACTAACCTGCTGCCTGCTGGATGGCAAATGTTGGTGGGAACCCATGTGCACCTGCATAGGAGCAGCTGAGATTATACCAGGAGCTGCTGCAAGGGGTAAAAGTGAGGTGAGAAAGACAAATGCAGAAGTAAAGTGAATTTCCTCTCTGCTACACAGAACCAGATCCCAGAAGCAGCACTAATCCAGTTTTATGGATGTTCTTACTGAAGGCGGTAGCGGCCATGGCCTGAGGGTCGAGAGAAGGCTGGCTGTCTCCGGTAGGCAGATCCGGGCGAGTGTAGTCGCGGCTCTTGTCGTTGTTGTACTTCACGTTCAGGCTGGTGAGCTTGGAGAAGCTGATGCGCAGGGTGCAGCAGGCATTGTAGATGTTCTGCCCATCTAGAGACTAGAGCCCCAAAGTGGAGGAAACAGATGAGATTCAAACACAGGAAATTCAAATCCACTGATAGACCACAGGAGCAGCCTTAAAATGAACACCGACTTTTCAAAACTTCAGTCTTATTAAAATGCTCAGATGTACATCAAGTAATTCAGAGCCATTTGATGTGAAACATGTAAATCTAGAGAAACTTTCAGATGTTTATTTTTTTTTACAGTGCTGATAGGAACCAGACGTCCACCTCTAAAAGCTCCCTCACAGAAAGTTACTACATGAAATGGTTATGAATTCACTGCCTGATGCCAAATACATTGACTTACAACAGGCCTCCAATAAAATACTGGTCAAAAAGTTACTTTAAAACGCATTTATGGTGTAGAGAGAGAGAGAGAGAGAGAGAGAGAGAGAGAGAGAGAGAGAGAGAGAGAGAGAGAGAGAGGGGTTGACAGAGAGATGGACAGATAGACAGAGACAGAGAGACAGACAGACAGAGAGATACAGATAGACAGACAGACAGAGATAGAGAGCTAGACAGATAGAGAGACGGACAGATAGACAGACAGATAGAGATAGAGAGACAGATAGAGAGATAGACAGAGATAGATAGAGCGCTAGACAGAGATGGACAGATAGACAGAGACAGACAGATAGAGAGAGAGACAGACAGATAGAGAGAGACAGACAGATAGAGACAGAAAAAGAGATAGAGAGATAGAGATACAGACAGATACAGAGAGAGAGAGAGAGAGAGAGAGAGAGAGAGAGAGAGAGAGAGAGAGAGAGAGAGACAGACAGACAGAGAGCTAGAGACAGAGAGAGAGATAGAGAGAGACAGACAGAGAGCTAGATAGAGACAGATAGAGAGACAGACAGAGATAGAGTGCTAGACAGATAGAGAGACGGACAGATAGACAGACAGATAGAGATAGAGAGACAGATAGAGATAGAGTGCTAGACAGATTGAGAGATGGACAGATAGACAGAGAGACAGACAGATAGAGACAGAAAGAGAGATAGAGATAGATAGAGATACAGATAGATACAGAGAGACAGAGAGAGATAGAGAGCTAGACAGATAGAGAGATGGACAGAGACACAGAGAAAGACAGATAGAGATAAAGAGACAGACAGATGGACACAGACAGAGAGATAGAGATATATAGATAGAGATACAGATAGATACAGACAGACAGACAGATAGATACAGAGAGAGACAGACAGAGAGACAGAGATAGACAGATGGACAGACAGACAGAATCCCAGAGGGAAATTCCTCTATTCCAGCAGTACAAAGTACAGTAAAGAGCCAAACAAGGGCAAAATGAACAGGAGAGAAACTGTCTTACAGTATTTACAGCTGCATAAACAGAAAGTAAAGATAAACAATAGAATAAAATAAAAAATATAAAAATAATGTGCAGTGGTATGCGTACAGTACTGGAAGGCAAAATGAGCCCCCAAAGAAAACAGTTTGACATCTAGACACATGTAGGTTCACCGTAGATTTTATATAGCAAATAAAAACACCTTTTGTGTTGTGACCCCTGGTTCCTCTCACCACCACTGTAAAGAAATCTGAGTCTCTACAGTCAACCATTTCACACCAAACCACTCTGAACGACTTCGCTTATGTAACAATTTTAGAAAATCTGGTGAAACGTCCCTTTAATTCAGACCATATTTACTATTAACCCGTTCTTAATTTAGGCTTAATCTGAGACTGTGACTCGAGCCATGGATTCATGAAAGAGTCCTAATAAACCTTAAATGTTTAAACTCAAAAACTGTATTCTTCAAATACCTCTTAATTTCTTTACCTTTTTCCTAAAAACGACTAATTTAACACACTACCTGCGTTTAAGGACCAACGCTGCACTCACCAGTTTGGCATGCTGGGCGGTCATGGCGTCTGCATACTGCACAAGGGCCTGGAACTGGTTATTTTTGGTGAAGGTTATGATCTTCAGCACTGTGCCGAACTTGGAGAATATCTACAAAAGGCCCAAAAACAAATAAGCATCAGTCAATAAAATGAACCATCACATTTACAGCAGGGCTGCACCATATATCGTTTGTCTATAGGGGATTAGTTACACCATCAAACAGCCTTGATCAGTTTTAAAGCCCTTGAAATAAACATTCAAAAATCATGTCGTTTTACTTTACACGTCTAAATAAGGAGCATTTCTTTATTCGGGAACCTATAGAACTTCCTACATACCACAGTTCGTTTGGACTGCTAGAGCCCCACATACACCCCGCCCACCATCAACCACGTCATTTAGCTTTGCTTAGTAAAGATCGACGATTTTTGTGGAATCAATAATCATCTTTAAAAAGCGCCCCAAGCCAGAAGGGTTTAAGGATTTAAAGTATGGACTTTTAAACAGCATCAAATCCAGACTGGAACTCCATGGACACTCTGTAGAAACGGAAAACCTGATCTGAGGCAGGAATAGGGCTGAACGATTTGGGGAAAATATCTAATTGCGATTTTTCTGACCAATATTGTGATTTAAATGCAGTAATTTTCTATAAAGATGGCCAAAGATGACCAAACTGTCCTTTTTCTGGCATGAAGCTTGAACACTTGTGCATCAGACTACCAGTTAGTTGTGATGGTTGTGATGTCACATATACAGAACGTGGGTGTTTTGATGCTTCTGATTGGTGTTGCTCATCTACAGGCAGCTTACAAGCTGTGTTAGTTGATAATGTATTATATACTAAAATTTCAGCTCTAGGCAGGACATCTGTAAACAGAGCCAACACTGCTTCAGCTGCTGGAAAGAGTTTGCTTGAAAACAAAACGTTTCTCTCAGCTCAGCCGAGTTTGCAGAATAAATCTAAGGTAAATTTTTATTTCATTCATCAGCTGAGCCTCAGAATCACTCTAAAAACAATTACTGTGGCTGATTCTGCATTCCTGGTTGGTAAGACTGCCTGCTCCGTTGCGAGTTTGAAGGAGGTGCGTTAGTGGATGGTGAATTCATCGTTTCTGTTCTAAGTTTGAAGGGGTTGGGTGTCTGGACAGGAGCGACTGAACATTAGTGCCATGCTGCTGTGGTGATTCTTGTTCAAAACATGCCCAAAAACAGGACTGGTACATTTTTTTCCCCTCCTCGTTTTTTTTCTCTGAAGTGGCTTTGATGGGAACTTGTTTTCTTCAAACCTCTGGCATGACGCAGCACCTCCTGAAGCTAAAAACAGCCTCTCTCTTTCATCGGTAACATGATGCTACTCTTTGCAATACTAATATCAAGGCTTGCAATAACCAAAGAGTCCCAAACCTGACCAATCACAGATGATGCATACTTTTCTGTAGGTGTTCAGGTGCATCAAGACATTTCACACATTTTACAAACACGTAAACAAACAAGTAACACTTTACTGCAGGGTACCGTTCATAAGGCTACATGACACCCACATAAGCTTGTCATGACAACTGAAATAACCATACATAAATGTTTATAAATGCTTAATCCAATAGACATCATCTGTCATAAAGGCTACTTTCGCTAACTTTGATAAAAATTGGCAAACGTAACCTTTATAACGAATTAACGCCTATTGGAATAAGTATTAATAACCACTTATGTAGGTCTGTGTCAGCTGTGATGACAAGCCCATGTAGGTGCCATGTAGCCTTATGAACTGTATCCTACAGTAAAGTGTTACCCACATAACTAACCTACATTATAGGCATCCACAAAAGTGTTTGTCTGTTAGTGTTATTCGGTTTGTTCAGTAGGCGAACTGCCTTGCCCAGCTGGTAAAGCTGTCAGACGCTTGTAAACGCTCTCATTTAAAACTCTAAAGCCAAAACAGATTGTTATGGTTTTGTTTATAGCCAGCAATGGCTTCAACAGCACATGTTCTCCGGTGTTTTTTAGCAGCTGTGTGCGGTTTTGTTACTAAATCTACTAGAACCCACAGCAGAGACAGCTTCAAACATTCCCATCGAATTCAATGAACATTTGTGTGCTGACCCCGTCAAGCGAACTGTGGTAATCTGATCAGGGCCGACTGATGAGTACCTGATGCAGGACATCCAGAGTGACTGGGTAGAAGAGATTCTCCACAATGACTCTAAGCACAGGGCTCTGGGTCCCTGAACCTCCATCCACACTGCTCAGAGACACGCTGCCCGTCTGGACTGCGTTCACCGCCTGCAGTGCCGCCTGCGCCCTCTACAGAACGGGGAGGAAACATTAAGTATGACAAACTACATCCATGTACTCATGATTCACGACGATAATGACGGGGTTTTAAAAAGAAAGTTTGCTCCACAAGCTGCAATTTGCACCTGACTCACCACTTGGTTGGGCGAGTTGTCCGTCTTCAGCTCCTTGTGATTGGAGTACTGCATGAAGACCGGGTGGTTTCGGATGACGGGGGTGACGGAGGAGTAGTAGCTGACCATCGTCTGAGCAGACTCTTCTGTGTTCATCTCCAGAAAGGCCTACAGGAAGGTCACAAAACACAGAACAGGTTCTTATTACACTCGCTGACTCACTGAGGTTTGGGACGGCCACAGAAAACTTCAAGCAGTGAAGACAACAATCCAGTAGATAAACATAATTATGTGTTGCTCTGTTTATCAGGAGAAGAGGAGGAAGTAGGACAACGATGAGTCAACATTACTGCCATAATGTTGAGGATCTGGACAAAATAACACTAAACAACAAATAACACTATGGAGAAGCTGGGGGGCATGAGCTCGGTTGATAGGCAGTTTAAATAACTATTAAGCTTGCTGGTTAAACACCACAAAGTCTTCATTGGCTAAATCCAGCAGTAGCCATCACTTGCCTAACTAGCCTTGAAAGCTCACTTTAAGACAAGAAAACTTACTGAACTGCCATGACAGCAACTACCCTGATGCCAAATTAAACATCTGCATTAGGGGTGTCAAACTCAACCACTAAATGAGCCGTATTAAAAAAAATCTCCACAAATCTGTGGGCCAGAGAAAAAAGTGTTTATTTCTTTAATTAATGTTGTGCTGTAACCCGAACTGGCCATTGTTTATTCAAAATATGCAGAAATTCCAGCAGAAAAATATGGGCACTTGTAGTAAACCTTGAAATATTACATGAAAACTTGGAATATTCTAAATTTAAACGTCCCCAGGAGCAAATTCATTAAGACTTGGGCTCAATTTCTGAGCCACAGAGCTGACGTTCGGTGTTCATCTGGGTCGAACCGCAGCTGAAATGCAGATAGTGCATTTGGTGATAAGACTGATGTGGAATTGCATAGAATTGTGTAAAATTGAGGTGTAACCACTGTCCTATAGATTGCTGTTGGGGTAGGAAAGTCAGAGTGTTACGCTGCAGTGCATGCTGGGGACTGCAGTGCAGTTCACTGTGAAACGGACTAATATTAATACTAAATTAAAATACTTTTGTGGGCCAGATAGGATTGTGTTGTGGGCCTCATCTGGCCTGCAGGCCTTGTGTTTGACACACTTTCAGAAATAAATTTACGAACCTCCTGCTTTTCATTTTGTTGTTCTGTTTTAAAACACTCAGTTGTGAAAAAGGTACAAATACGAACTTTTCACCTGGAAAAACTTATTTAAGGTTCACAATCGGACCTTAAAACTACTGTTGTACCTTTGAGGGAAGATTTACACTGTTTGTACCTTGATAAACAAAATGTACCTGCACAGAACCTTTATTTCTAACAGTGGGGGAGTCCAAATAAAAGCCACTCTTCAAATCTCAGTAATAAAGTCAGATTTAATTCAAACAGATCGTTTAATGCACTGAATATGATACATTTACATTATCTTCGCCATTATCAGTAAGACTGGGCAGTCATGGGCTGGAGGTTAGGGATCCCCTGAGCCGACAGTACGTGACAGAAGTGCCCTTGAGCAAGGCATCTAACCCATAGGGCTGCCCACCGCTCTGGGCAGATGTGTTCACTGCCCCCTAACGTGTACGTCGTGTTTCACTGCACAAACGGGTCAAATGCGGAGGGGAAATTTCCCCGCTGTGGGACTAATAAGGGTCACTGAATTAATTTTAGATTAACTGAATATAATAAGACTAGGTGATGCCAACGATTCATATTTTCAGACTCAATAGAATTTTTAATTCTGTGGTTTTCAATATATTGTGTTTGTAAAGTTTTGATTGTATAGAGATCTAATTCTATACAATTCACAGATTAGTTTGGCTTAAAAATACCATTTAAAATTTTCATGGTTATGTTTTCCCCCAAACTTTAGGCTGAAAGAAAACACCCAGATGTCCAGGTCTGACCACTGACTGTGGTTCCCATGAAATACAGTAAATGAGACACGCATACCTGGTTCTTTCCCTTGAGCATCAACAGGTTGGTCACTTTGCCGAATGGCAGCCCCAAGGAAATCACCTCCGCTTCGTTTATGTCGCTGGGTAATTTGCGCACGTGGACGACTCGAGACGGAACGCCCGGACTCCTGATGTCACCTTTAAACTTCTTACTGTCGTTACCATTGGCTGAAAGGTAAAGAAGGACTAAATGAAGGACAATTTCTTTAACAATGACAGAGCAAACAACAACCTGCAGTGTGGGAAAGACATGAAACAAGGCAATGAGCCTAGTTTTGGTAGGTGCTGCAAACACGTACCAGCTCCTGAGCTCATGATATACGGTCCGTTGGATATACAGGAGGAAAAGAGTTCGTCAGATCCCCTCTGGAATGGAAACAACAGACAAAAGTTAACTTGCAAGAGTCTCAGCACCTCAGTAAGGAAAATGTGATGCACGGAAAAGAATTCAAATCCAGGACTCTGGACACACAGAGACCAAGGCTGACCAACGTCCATTTATAACAGCCTTTTATAGGCCTGGAAAATGTAATAAAAATTTAATACATAGAACAGGCAGATTGTAAAACATTCAATAATAATGGTGATGGAAGAGAAACGATATATTATCTGACATTTGGGGTCTAAAAATAGTACAGACACAGAAACGTCTGAATCAATTGCTATTATTTAAATCGGAATATTTTTAATGTGCATTAAGCTAAGGGTGGGCGACATGCCGATACTGCGTCATGATACACTCCCTTAAAAATATCACAGGTCAACAGCTTCGGAATATCACTGAGAGGTTCAGCCCTTTAGGCTTCGCAGGTGAAAATTCTTCATAACGTTTGTGGCGTCAGTCGAGAAGAACTTAGTTCTTTATCAGAGGAAGCAAATCATGCTACACAGATTATGAATATGAAGCAGTAATCACTCTAATAAGCACTAAGGCAGGGGAGACAACACTGTTTTAACACTACAGATGCTTCACATTACCTAAACCGGGATTAATGCCGGCCTGAGTCTCTGAACCGGGATAAATCCCAGCCCAAGTATCTAAACTGGGATTAATCTCAGTCTAAGTATCTAAACTAGGATTAATCCCAGCCCGAGTATCTAAACTAGGATTAATCTCAGTCTAAGTATCTAAACTAGGATTAATAGCAGCCTGAGTATCTAAACTAGGATTAATCTCAGTCTAAGTATCTAAACTAGGATTAATAGCAGCCCGAGTATCTAAACTAGGATTAATCTCAGTCTAAGTATCTAAACTAGGATTATAGCAGCCCGAGTATCTAAACTAGGATTAATCTCAGTCTAAGTATCTAAACTAGGATTAATAGCAGCCTGAGTATCTAAACTAGGATTAATAGCAGCCCGAGTATCTAAACTAGGATTAATCTCAGTCTAAGTATCTAAACTAGGATTAATAGCAGCCTGAGTATCTAAACTAGGATTAATAGCAGCCCGAGTATCTAAACTAGGATTAATAGCAGTCTGAGTATCTAAACTAGGATTAATAGCAGCCCGAGTATCTAAACTAGGATTAATAGCAGCCTGAGTATCTAAACTGGGATTAATCTCAGTCTGAGTATCTAAACTAGGATTAATCTCAGTCTGAGTATCTAAACTGGGATTAATCTCAGTCTGAGTATCTAAACTGGGATTAATAGCAGCCTGAGTATCTAAACTGGGATTAATCTCAGTCTGAGTATTTAAACGAAAATTAATAGCAGCCTGAGTAAACTGTGATTAATCCCAGCCTAAGCATTTAAACAAGGATTAATCCCAGCACAAGTATCTAAACCGGGATTAATCCCAGTCTGAGTATTTAAACTAAAATTAATAGCAGCCTGAGTACCTAAACCTGGATATATCCCAGCCTGAGCGCCTAAACCGGGATATATCCCAGCCTGCGTACCTAAACCGGGATATATCCCAGCCTGCCTGCCTAAACCAGGATATATCCAAGCCTGTGTACCTAAACCGGGATAAATCCCAGCCTGGGAAAGTTGGCCATCTTTGTTAAACAAGGTAACTGCAGTTCTGGGTATGTGAAGCTGAAACTTGGTCAGGAACCCTGTCTATGTTGAACATGCCTGATGAGACAGACCCTCCCGCCTAACAAAAACAAAGCAGGAGAGAACTGGACTCTGCAGCTTTAAAAATGACCACCAAACAAGGTTAGAAGGAAATGAGATTTCCTCCAAGTTCACTGACCGTGCAAGATCCTACAGAGAAGCCTGCAAGCACAGAACCAACCCTACAGAACCAGGACGTGCTCAAGAAAACCAGTGACACCAAAATTAAAATTCCTGACCGAATTAACATAATTAACGTACACAGAAATACAAATTACACTGCACCCCCATCTAACAGGCACCAAGAAACTCAACAACCAGCAGCAGCAGATTACACCACTGTTTACTCGCAGTAAGAGCAACAAAGAGAAGGCAGCCCAAACAGAGGCAGCTATGTCCAGCCACAAGCAACAAAGACGGTCACTCGACGCCAAAGCTGTGGCCACTTGGCCAGCCGAGTTCCTAAAGAGCAAATCATTCAGCATCACACTCTTAATAAACCACTTCAAGATGGAGAGAGTCTGCTGGAGTGGTCACATGCGCTGGATAAGCTAAAGCCTTTTACTCTCCGCAGCCACAATGCGAGTTCTGTTCCAGCCAAAAGGACAGCATTGTTAGCAAAGCTGCACTGGACTCCGTTCTCCTCCCAGGCTCCAGCATTCAGAGCACTAATCTCACAAAATGAATCTTCCTTACTTTCCCTTTTTAAACTAGGAACTTATAGCATGTAAACACTGTTCACTACCAAGTTCATGTACTGAAACTAGGGCCTCACTGATAAAGCCTGGTCAATATAATAGTGGCCGATATTAGTGACCCATGGTATCATCGGGACAGTTTGACAACGTCGCCATTAACACACCAATAATAGCACTTTTTTGTCTGGGATTCAGACTCGTGAACTTTTATCATAAGAAAATAAAGATAGGTGACAGACGTGTCACCTACTATGGATTCGGGGCTAAGATTTAATAATAAGCTTTATCTATACAGCACTACATACACAGAGCAGCTCAAACACTTTGATTTACATTTAAATAGTAAAATTAAGCAGTAAAACTACCTATAATTGGGTAGTTAAAGTTTTGTCTGCGACAAAATAAATAAATAAATAAAAACCTCCATTTCTCCAGATCCATATCTCCATTTTTGCTGATTATTTTTCTAGACCATTTGAACAAAGCAGACGTCCTTTAAATTGTATTCGTATTTCATGATTAACAGACCAACAGAAATGCTCCCAAATAAGTTGAAATAAAGCCTCTTTACACTAACTTTCAATAAAAATTTAAGAGCGCTTTTGTCTCGTCCTGTAAGGTCATTGTTTGAGACACGTGTTTTTGCTTGGACAGCGAGGATATGAAAACATTTTTAATAAAAATACTGTTTTTAATTTATTTTACTTAGCCTTTTATATTTATTGTAGTCTGCTTTTCGCGTTTGTGCTTTTATCGCTTATTTTCACTGGTCCGACAGTCAAGCACTCTGAGCTGTTTTGAGTGTAAAGAAAGTGCTCTATAAATATATTATTATTATTATTATTATTATTATTATTGCTATTATTAACCCAGACCACAGATTCATAGTAGGTGACGTGGCAGTCTTTAAGATAATCAGACAAACTCTCTCAGACCTCAGCCAAAAGGGTACACACTTAAATGATGGTGCTTCAAGGGTTCTTTAGTAAAGAAATATGGTTCTACATAGAACCATGAACACTCAAAGAACGCTTTCTATGATTAAAGCGTTCTTTGCATCATGAAAAGGTTCTTCAGATTGATGAGGATGAATGGAGAACCTTTTTGAAAAGGGTTCTATATAGCACACCGTAACAATAGACGAATCCTTTTTTGGTGCTATATAGAACCATCTACAGCACATTCTCCACCAATCTGAAGAGCCCTTTTATGATGCAAAGAACCCTTTAATCATGGAAAGGGTTTTGAATGGTTATGGTTCTATACAGAGCCATTTTCTTTACCAAAAACCCTTGAAAAATACCATTTTTAAGTGTGTAGCACAAATGATTAAAAAGAAATTATGGTCATGAGCTAATTTGGCTACACAGAACCGGCCATAAAAACCCGTACCCTGAAAAAAGTTCCGCGTGGGAACCCGTATGAAAGACTATACCAGTTCTGACATCAACCTCAGAAGCTGTGGAGGACCGACGCTCCACAGCCTGTACGCCGTCTGCACAGCCTCCTGATTTTTCACTCTGATTCTCGGTTTAAGAGGGAGAAAACCCGCCCACCATCTCACAGAGCAGAAACACAGCTGGGGCTCTGCGGAGCGAAGGAAAACAAAAACACAGAGGAAGAGAGCGCGGACCGGACGGTGACGTGGGCGTGCGGATCTGGTTTCCTTCATCAAATTAAAAAAATAAAAATAAAAAGGGGGACAGGCTCTCGCATTCCTCGGAGCTGAATCAGCATGTGCTGGGATCCTCCTGCCTTTTCTTGTTGTAAAACGCTCCATTGTTTCAGGGCAAATTATCCTCCCACTGCAGCCGTTTCCTTCCTCTGTTTCTACCCGGCTGAGCACGGAGACACACTAACAGGAGGATCTGAAACGTCAGGTCAACGACTTTCTTTAAATTCTTAAAAAAAAATATATATAATTTCACACATTCGGTTTTCGTCTACAGAGATGCCTCAGTGTACACCAACCTGTGGCCGATCGATTAGCTTGTGAATTTTTTTTTTATCTGAATAGTTCAGTGACACCAGCCACGTTTACATGCAGCCTAATAATCTGTTTAGTCCGATTAATAGCTCAATCGGAATAGAATACATCCATATAAACACCTCAATCAGAACAGACTAGTCGGATTGACGCCATACAGTTTCTATCCGATTGAGTGAGGTGGGTAATCCTGTAAATAATCCGTTAAATAGAAGAATAATATCCGTGTAAACGCCTGTATCTGATTACATTCCCTATCGGAAAGTTTAAGTCCGTTCTGATCGTGTTCGTCGCGTCATAGTGAAAGTTTATACCGTTCAACATGGCGGAGCAGAAACTGGTCTGCAGAGGAGACGAAGTTTATGCTCTGATCTTTAAAAGACGGCGGTGGGACGGACGTCTCAGAACACGACGTCTTCCTTTCGGCCTTCTTTAATAAGGACATGTGAAGGTCGTTTTCCTGAGTCTGACATTATTTTAAAGCAGTTAAAAACACAAGCGCTGCTCACTGCTGCTCATCTCACTCTGACTGGACTCACGTGATGCTGGTTGCCATGGTAACGTCTACACTAAGCGGTTCTCTACGCATGCGCGTGATTCTGGACCGGATTACTTGTAGTGAGCATGTAAACAGAGACTTACCATCAGATTGTTGTAGAGTGAGAATAAACACCTCCGTCTTAATCTAGAATCGGGCTGTATTCAATCGGACTGGAGAAAATCTTTGCACGTAAACACAGACAGTGAGGTCAATGGGGTGGACATCGAGACCTAGACTCGTTCCTGAGCCAGACCTACTGAACACCACAAGAACAGGAAAAAAAACGCCTCCCTGAAGGTTTAAAATCAAATCCAGGAGGCAGAAACCGCTGCACTACTTCCTACACTTAATCCCATCCTTCCAGAAGAATTAAGTAAACTGGAGATTAGCCATCGCTCCTCACCCTAAGGCAGTGTCCTAGTTTGTGTTTATGTGCATACAGAGCTGTAAGAAAGGGAAGAGAAGGAATACCACTGTCTATCATGTACTCCCTCTCTCCTCATGTAGATGGGCGGGGCTTAAAAGGGTGGGTGAACAATTCGGAGAAAATATCTGCCAACAAGGCCAACAAGCCCAGCATATATTTTTTTTACTTGACCACTGAATGTAGTGTGGCAGTCCGTCAGCCCATGAGCTCCATGAGGTTAAATTTCCCCAATTAAAACTTCAGACAACACTGAGCAACATAGGATAAGCACAACTGCAGCACCCTGCAACTTAATCGCAATACGGGAGGGCAGTTTTCGATATTAAACCAATTTATCGTTCAGTACTATTATCCAGTGATGTGATATCAAAAAAGTGAACGAGAAAGAAAAGTAAAGTGTCCAGTAGATATATTATCTAAAGGACTTGATCTCAGTGATCCACTGTCACCACATTTGTCTTAAATGATGACTCCGCTCTTCAGTCTTCTTCGATTCAACGAAAGATGCTGATGGCAGGTTTTACGGCGACCAAGAAAACTGTCTTGCAACTCTGGATCATCCCACAGATTTCAGCTACGAAATTCTGGATATTCAGTTTTCAAAATAAAGTTCAGATAGAATCTTACAGCCAAGCTTAACAAGGCAAAACAGTCAACAATAGGAAACAGAGAATTTACATGACTATTCAACAACTTTAGTGTCCAATTAAATTGTGTTCAGTTGTTTGTTTAGTTGTTTATGTATTTTCTGTTTTTGATTTGTGTATTCCTAAAAATGTACGTCACCATCCTGCCTTCCCCTCCCCCTTACCTTTCCCCACCCTTGTTGTAAAACAACGAAAAATGCAATAAAAAGGTGATCAAAAAAATTACAAATATACACATAATGTGTATATAAAAATATATAAAAAAGTGTGCGCGTGGGGAGGCGGGGGAGCCAAAAGAATACTGGCCTGAGTTTATAAACTTTAATCAACACTTGATAAAATAATAATAATAATAATAATAATAATAATAAGTTAAGTAATTAAAAACAGATTAGTTAGTGGTGTGGCAGAACATCATGATATTTCAACAAATTTTCATGATGCCTAACAACGCACTACTTTACTTTTCCTGACACTTGGTAAGTTGAAGCAGTGCCATATTTAAAATTAGACATTTTTAATTTAAATGATTTTTGCCCAGCGTTTCACACAGACTAAATCTACTTAAACAGGAAAATTTTGCTCTCTTTTCAATGAAGCGTGCAGCTGGTCAGTACTGAGTTTCCACAATACTCTCAGAAAGCATACTGTAAATCATTACAATAACCATAAACTGTCATGTGTCTTGTTCTAAGACGCTTTGGATCACTTATACTGGTTCACTCATCACAAAACCTTTACACAATACACTACGGTGATTACACTGACTCTCATTACAAACTAAATGGATTAGTTCATTAGATATTTCGCTTTTAATAGAATATATTTTAAGTTATGGTCTGCAGTTTGGTTTGTGTTGGATATGACGCTCATTAACCGACGTTTAATGACAAAAATAATAATACTGTGCGACACTGATGTCAGTAAACTGATACACACATCGTGCTCGCAGCTATCAGCTCGGAGTGGATGAAAATAAAACACCCTCAGCCACGTCTGCTGCGCTAGCCTGAAGGAGCTGAAGGCTTGCAGGTGCCGGCTTGTTTACATCCTGTGATGAAGCAGAAGCTTCTGAGCGGAGGGTGAATCGCAGGGTCAGAGGAACAGGAATGTAACCTCAAACATTCCAGACAGCTTTAACAGCTTCAGCAGCCTCCAGACCGCCGGCTAGTGACGTGATCGCTCCTCCAGACGCCTGAAGGAGGACTTAAGGACGCAACGCTGCAGACGTCCACCATACTGGGAAATAATCAAGATTTCAAAGTAGGGAAGGACAACATGACCACATTTACTGCACATTTCAGACAGATTATAGCCCGTATAACCAGTATATATGCAGTCTGTGAAGTGTTCGCCAACTGCAGAGTGACAAGGAGCTGATGGGATGGGAGTCTGTGACAAAATCCATAACTATTTTAACAATTTTGGTGTTTTACCCTGTTTCTTCTCAAGTGGTTTATATGGGCAAAGACCTTTCAGGGTCTTTTTTTGTTTTAAATGTGGCAAAACTATAACTATGATATTTAAAGGTTTTACATGACATGCAACACATCTCCAATTAGGACTGCAACTAACAATTTCCATTCATCACGGCTTTGTTTTAAGGGTTTTGTTTTTCTGAGGTTTGACAAGTCGAAAGACAAAATCTGACCAAACGAGCCACATTTTATAAAGTCCAAACTCATCAGAACTTTACTTGAGTGTGTGTAACAGAAGTAAATGCAAGTAGTTAGTACCCACTTCTGACTTTAAATTATTAATATCCTAATACTTCGTATCTCAGTCTTACTTTCAACTCCTTGGGACCACCGGTGGTTCCAAAACGCACATATTCTAGTCATATTCTTCATAACTTTCATGTTTCATAAGCTACATTCTAAAGGTGGGGGTCGTATGAGAGCTGTAACGGTCTTCTTTTCAGTCAAATAGATGGGTGATGTCATTTTAAACCCTTAGAATAAAAGAAGCTGAACTTTTCTACTGAAAGTCGACCCATTTTTCCACAAATCTGGGCTATAAACTATAAACAGATGGCGTCTCTTCAGTGATCTGCTCTGTAAAAATTATTTTTATAAAAAATACAAAGAGCGTCTAAGATTTTTGGCTTTCAGCAGTAAATTGTAAGCATATAGCAATGTGTATGACCATAAAACACTTCTGTTAATTTGAGGGGAGCTTTTGCAAGAAATAAATAGATAATTTACATTTATTTCATGCAGTTACTGAATAATTAGCCTTATGATTTGGTTGTGTAAATTCAGGTGGAAAAACCAAAATATACCCTGGAGAACAAGAGGTTAAAGTGTGCACATGCTTCAAAAATTGAACCCTGTTTAATCTCAGTTTACATACAAAAACATTACCTTTACAGATACATGCTGTACTACACAGGAAGAACTAAAAGCCCTTCAGCAAAACTGACTAATGCCTCACCGCTGCCTCTGCTACCCTGAGCCTCATCACTGAACGATTAAAGGGACGAGATGTTTGCGCTCTGGTGTATCTTCAGGGTGACTGTTTAAACAGCAGCCGGGCTTTGACCAGAATAATTAAGGTCTCGAAATCAGCAGGAGGCAGAGCAGCAGTTACGCCCGTCACCTTCGCTCGTCTTGGGAGACGGACGTGAAAAGACGTACGGCGAAAAAAGAGAAAACCTGCTGTGACTCGATCGGCAGCATGAACAAGAGGGAGTTTCACATCTCGAGATCAACCACAAGCAGAAAAGAACATTCTTCACCGAGGCAGGTCCACACATGAGCGGTTAATGAGTGGGTGCATGTAAATAACGAGTAAATTAAGGGACGGAAGAGTGGAACGTACCTTCGTGCCAACTGTTATATCATGGACGCCGCTGGAAAAGAAAGAAGCAAAAATTAAATGTAAAAAAATGCAAAAATGCAAAATATCTGACATTTGAATAAAATAATTTGGCTGCAAAGATTTGAGGACATGATCACACAATGATGGTTCTTTAGTAAAGAAAATGGTTCTATATAGAACCATGAACGCTTTCCATAATTAAAGCATCCTATGCATCACGAAAGCGTTCTTCAGCTTGATGGAGGACGGATGGAGAACCTTTTTGAAAAGGTTTCTATGTAGCACCAAAAAGGGTTCTTCTATTGCAACAGGCCTGACACTGTAACAGACGAACCCTTTTCAAAAAAGGTTCTATAAAGAACCATCTACAGCACATTCTCCATCAATCTGAAGAACGCTTTCATGATGCAAAGGATGCTCTAACGATAGAAAATGGTTCTTCTATTGTAACAAGCCTCACAACTTAACAACAGAAGAACCCTTTTTGGTGCTATATAGAGCCCTTTTCGATATGGTTCTATATAGAACCAACTACGGCACATTCTCCATCAACCTGAAGAACCCTTTCATGATGCAAAGAACCCTTTAATCATGGAAAGGGTTTTTTGAACGTTCTTGTTCCTATATAGAACCATTTAAGTTACTAAAGAACCCTTGAAAAAAGCATTAAGTCTGTAGCACAAATAATAAAAACTAAAAATACAATTTAAATGTTCATGATGCTAAGAACCCTTTTTCTATATAGAACCATAAACACTCAAAGAGCCCTCGGCATGATTAAAGGGTTCTTTGCATGGCGAAATGGTTCTTCAGATTGATGGAGATCTGTAGATGGTTCTATATACAAAACCCTTTTTAAAAAGGTTTAAAAACTTACTCTATTTCGCTGACGTACCTGGATCCCAGAGGATACAAATCCGTCTCTAAACGTCTGTAAAAGAGCAACAAGACACATTCAGGACAGAGCAGCAGGCATTATTAAGCATGCATAGCATCTTTATAATCCGTATAATCTGAACAGACTGGAGTCGGGCCGCTGCTCGCTCTCCAACATCATAACACTGAGCACCTTCACATAACATCGAACACAAACCTCTACAGCTCCTCATTCCAAACGTCCAGAACGCTGGACAGGTTCCCCCAGGTATTCTAGCTTTATAGAAGCAGGTAAGTCTCCACACTCACTTACGTTTCTACAGAACTCAGTCTTTGGCCCAGTCCCATTTCACCCCTCGCCCCTACCACTCAGCCCTACCCCTCCGTTTTGCACATTCTCGTCTAGGGGTGGGGTGTCCTGATTCTTGTTGAGATAGAGGGGGAGGGTGAAGTGTTAGAGCTACATGACCCTCCAAACGGAGGATTTTCTGAGACTCCAAACAGAGAGTTATGAGAAAAAAGGAAAAACCGGTGAGATGGAGAACAAGAGACCAAAGAAACCCACAAATGTGAGAATTTTCTCATTAAAAAATTTACAATAATCACTGTTTTATCTTAGTTTAATGTTGTTTCAGTGTATTTTGGTCCTTTTCGTCATAACAGGCATAGAAAATCGCTAATACTATACTAATGTCTCGGTAGCTAGTTAGCTAACTTTCCCGTTCCACCTTAAATAGTCCGGCAGTTCTGACGCCTGAAGCGCCAGAATGTAACTGCTGCTCCATTTAAGGTGGAACGGGAAAATTCTAACAAGAAGCTGGAGAATATCTGACTTCAGCTTCATATCACTGAAGAATTAGGGTGATAATAAATAATTGCCCCCCTCTTTGAAGATCATATGATGCCCTAAATGTAACTAAAGCCCAGCAGTGAGGAGCTGAACTTTACCCTCCTCTGCTGTCACTGCAGACTGGCAGGGTCGCCTACAGAGCAGCGCTGGTAGCTGTTAATGAAGTGATGCTCTTTTTATTTGAGGGTCCCATTTCAGAGGGAAGATTTCAACCACTACCCTGTAACTCAGCTCCAAGGGGTTAGGGTGACACTCGAAAACAAGGGGTAGGGGTAAAAATAAGAAATGGGACTGGGCCTTTGTGTTTCTGAATGATCCTGTATTTATTTCTGAAAAGGTTTCGTATGTACGTCCTTCTAGAAGCTCCCTCTCGTGAAAGGTAAAAAATGATATGTTTATTTCAAACCCAAAGTGCGATGGCATTTAAAGTCCAGTGACCTCGACGCTTGCTCTCCAAAACTAAGGCTTTGATTAGTATAATAGACTCCTGCTTTACAAAACACAATCATAGATTATTTTAGTTTGTTTTGATAATAAAAGGAGAATCTTATGTGAATTCAGGAGTGAATATAGATGATGTTCTATGAATTTGGTGATAATATTGCTTAGTGATTTCAATGGAGTTCACTGTCAGGTATACTGGACATTCGAATTAGGCATGTAAACCCTGCAAGATCTTGAAAAATGACTGCATTTAACATCAAAACAACAAACAAAAATGTTTTTTTCTGAAATGTAGAGTTATTTCTGTCTACGACACTGTGCGAGCACATAAAATGTATGTAATCTGTCTAATATTATATATGAATTTATGTAATACAGCTCATGTAATGTCTTCTACCCTTTTCACTAATGATACTGTTTTAACCTTCTCACTATAGGTACAGTGATATAAATCAGTGTATACTGTCACTGTCCAAAGAAAACCATGCATCTCCATTTCTGCCGATTTTTACTTTTTTTTTTTTTACATCATTTCAACACACCAGCTGTCCTTTATGTTAAATGAAAACTTAATGATGAACGGATCAATAGAAGTGCTCTAAAATCACCTGGAATAAAATCTCTTCACATTAACATGCATTGAACGGTCTGAGTGTTTTTGCCTTCTCCTGTAAAGCTACTGTTTTGTAGATACCCGTTTTTCTTTGGACTATGTGCTGTGTGTTAAAAAGCTTGTGTGTATTATGATATAGAGAGTATTATGAACACTAATACTTTAGGAGCCGTTCATTCAAAAGTCCAGTCAGTTCTAAGAGTTGAGAAACTCTCATGCGACTGTATACACAGTAAACACAGGAAAAGCCCAGCACTTGCTTTGTGTCGCATGTTGGCGATGATAAATATGTACGCTTGCGTAATCCAGGTCCAAAAAGTAAAAACCCTCCCCAGGATTTTGTTCCAACTGCTTGACTTCTCTAATTTGCTCAAACCAGCAGCGAAGGTGTTCAGGCAGCTGGAACAAAATCCTGGGGAGGGTTTTTTACCTTTTGGACCTGGATTACCCACCTCTATAAATATGTTCATCTTTTCAAGAACTCACACATTTCATGCGCCCAGGTACAATCATGTCCAGTGTACTGGACACTGAATATTACATGCAGTGAGTTTCATAACAGGACATTATTTGTTTTTACAGTGTCCAGTCTGTGCAGGAGGTTATAGGAGTTCAGCACTATAACGTTAGACTTGACGCTACAATTACGGAAAAAAATCTCGTAGGTTAAATATTTGCTCAGCTAAGTTGCCCACAATCCCTGTATTTAAGAACAAAACGTGAAAATCCGTTATCAACACTTAAATATGCGTACTTAACAGAATAACGCTGAAGAGTGAGCTGGCTAAGTTAAACCGGTTTGTTAACGTTAACGTTAGCCAGCAACAAGGCGGAAACTGAGACACGTTTTTCGCTGGAGGTAAAAAGCTACCTGTTAAAGTAAACTCGTCTACAACCTTTTACTTTTTTAGGTGGACGGCTGATAATCTGAATCGCACTTAATTCAACCCGATAGCGAGCTTTAGTACGGAGCACGTTATCCGCAACAGGTCGGTGATCCACAACTTTGTGCCCGCGGACATGTTGCTAACTAACCGAGCTAACCGCCAGCCCAACGCCAGACCGCCTCAGCTTTAACTTCAGATTTGAGTCGTTTTGTCAGCACACACTTTAACTTAAGCGGACTATAAAAGAAGATAAAGGCCTAATCAACTAAAACCGTACGTTTTTTACACACATGCTTGTCAATAAACGTGTTTTTGTTTCAAGAACTTACCCGTCCATGGCACTACACACAACTAGAGTCCGCGCAGTCGGGACGTAGCAAGCTGGAGGCTCTTATAGACTCACAAAATGGCGGAGAGGGCCACGGCGCGCTTTGATTGGCCCAGAGCTACGTGTGGGCGGGACCTTACAGGCAACCCGGCTACACGATTGGACCGGCTAACCGTCCATCTTAAAAGGCGGTCTGAGAAACTTTGGCCGAAACTTCAGCGAAGCATTCGGGATGGGCGAATCCACTGATATTCTTTTCGATTCGATACCGATATTAAGGCTCGTTCACCGATATTAATGGCATCTTATTGTAAGATTACGATTACGATTGAGATTATTTTGTGATTTTTACTATTTATACGTACAAAATCAACATGTGCGAACATATATTTCAAAGCTTTTGCATTAGGGACGCACAAACACAAAAACAAAAAGGAAGAAAAAGTGTATTTCAGCCAAAAAAAGTCATAGTCAGCTTAATTGTCCTTGTTTCTCATGTGCTGAGAAAGGAATGAAATGTAGTTTCTCCAAAGCACAAAGCTACATTTAACACACAACAGCAGCAGACAGACAATAAATATAATAAACACAATAAATACAGACCAGCTATACAAATATTTTTTCAAAATTCATCTACAGTATACAACAGCTACAACCATATCATTGAGCACAGGGCAATAGAGAAATAGTCCAGCTGTTGGTCCACAGCAGCAATAATAGTTGTGCGTGTATTGTTTATCAATGCACTGATAATTGATCGTTTTCAGCAATGCAGCCATAAAGGTTAATAAAACTGCAGACAGTGTACAGATTAAAGTAACTGTGCATGTAAAGTGAGTGAGGTTAAAGTTTCACAGTAAAGTGGTTGAGTGCGGAAGTTAAAGTGCAACAGATAAAGTGAGCAGTAAGGCTGAGGAAGCAGTTCGGTTAGAAAGTTTAAAGGTCCGTCAGGTAGATTTGTTCATCAGTCTGACAGTCTGTGGGAAGAAACTGTTCCGGAGTCGGGAGGACTTGGCCCTGATGCTCCGTAGTCTTCCTCCAGATGGGAGTGGTGTAAACAGCTCTTGTGATGGATGGGAGGGATCCTTCCTGATGCTGCATGCTTTTCTTTTACCCCGTTTGGTGTAGATGTCCTCAATGACAGGGAAGCTTGACCCAGTGATGGACTGGGCAGTCTTCACTACCCATTCCTGTCTGAGACGGAGCAGTTTCCATTACCAGACAGCAATGCCGCAGGTCAGGATGTTCTCTATGAGAGCGTTTACATGCACTTAATAATCTGATCATTATCTGATTATCTGATGATCTGATTATTAAATGGTAATGTAAACCAGTCAAGTCAAGACAACAACAGGTGTTGTCGCAAAGCAGCTTTACAGAAAAATCTGGGTTGAAGGCCCCATGAGCGTCGCCAATGGTGACAGTGGCAAGGAAAAACTCCCTAAGACCAAGAGGAAGAAACCTCGAGAGGAACCAAGACTCAAAAGGGGAACCCATCCTCCTCTGGACAACACCGGATAGCAAACAATAACAAACAACCACCTAGCATGCCATGGTAATCATTTGGCAACACCCTAGTAGCTACCTGTGATTCCGTAGCAACCACCTAAAAACACCTTAGCAACCACCTGGAATACCATAGCAACCAGTTAGTAACACCTTGGAAAACACTTGGGATACCATAGCAATTATTTGGCAACACCCAGCCACTACCTGGGATACCACTGAAACCAAGTCAAGTCAAGGTTTACTTATATAGCACTTTTTACAACAGGTGATGTCGCAAGGCAGCTTTACAGAAAAACCTGAGTCCGAGCCTCCAAGGGCGTCGCCAATGGCAACAGTGAGAAGCAAAAACTCCCTATAAGAGCAAAAGGACGAAACCTTGAAAGGAACCAAGACTCAAAAAGGGGAACCCATTCTCCTCTGGTTGACACTGGATAGCAACAATAACAAAAAAGAAACAACACACTCTGATTTCTGAGATCGGATTAAGGCTTAGACATCTGATAAAGAGGCTGGATTTGAGCTCGGTAATGGGTTTTTTCAGTGCATGTAACTCTCACTCTGATTTCTTTCGTCTGTGCATGTTTGAACACAGAGCGCCGCCCCGGAAACAGCAGGCCGCAGTTAACACAGCACCCGCGAGACGCAGCACAGCACTTTAGGAGCGGCGCTGAAACCGGATAAATGTCCGACAAAATGAGGGATTTAAATATTCTTCATCTACTAGATGATGTATGTTCATATTTTCCACTAAAGTGACTCAATGTTTTAAAAATCGCCGACAGACAGAGACTCACTACGAGAATGTGTAGGGGTGGCCATTGCAGGGGGAGGAATATGCGAGTGCGGAGGTGCAGAGTTGTTCCCTCAACTGCAAACTACTCTCCAATTAAAGGCGGCAACAACCACCCCACGGCCAGGTGGAAGCCAATGACCTGGCTAAAATTTTGAGGTGGCATCTGGAGTGGCCAATCAGATTTTAGGGAAGGCCTTGGCCCCCTTTAGAACTACACACGGGCATGATGGTGAGTTTTACGTTATGTTCACGTCACGTCTTATTCTGTGAGTTTATTGGCTGGTTGCAAAGCAGAAATCTGATTACTGTCTGACTCATGTAGACCCAGAGTTTCCCCATTATCTGATCACCCAAGAGCATGAAAACACACCGAACCAGTTACTGACACAATCTGATTTTCTGCAGTTATCAGATTATTAAGTGTGTACACACCGAACCAGTTACTGACACAATCTGATTTTCTGCAGTTATCAGATTAACTGTGAACACGCTGAACCAGTTACTGACACAATCTGATTTTCTGCAGTTATCATATTATTAAGTGTGAACACACCAAACCAGTTACTGACACAATCTGATTTTCTGCAGTTATCAGATTATTAAGTGTGAACACGCTGAACCAGTTACTGACACAATCTGATTTTCTGCAGTTATCAGATTATTAAGTGTGAACACGCTGAACCAGTTACTGACATAATCTGATTTTCTGCAGTTATCATATTATTAAGTGTGTACACACCGAACCAGTTACTGACACAATCTGATTTTCTGCAGTTATCAGATTAAGTGTGAACACGCTGACCCAGTTACTGACACAATCTGATTTTCTGCAGTTATCAGATTATTAAGTGTGTACACACCGAACCAGTTACTGACACAATCTGATTTTCTGCAGTTATCAGATTATTAAGTGTGAACACACCGAACCAGTTACTGACACAATCTGATTTTCTGCAGTTATCAGATTAAGTGTGAACACGCTGAACCAGTTACTGACACAATCTGATTTTCTGCAGTTATCAGATTATTAAGTGTGAACACACCGAACCAGTTACTGACACAATCTGATTTTCTGCAGTTATCAGATCATTAAGTGAATGTAAACACACTCTATGACGCTTTTGTAGCAGCAGTTGACGGGTGGGTGTGCGCAGGCCGGCCCTCTTCAGTCCCCTTAGGTAGTAGCCGTGCTGTTGCGCCTTAAGCGTAGGACTATAGTAGGTATCATATTATACCGAATCACAGCGTTTCTTAATGTATCATGTTGACTTATTATTTTCATGATATATGATATGCATAACAACATTAAGTTTTACTGAAATTTAATGTTACACTCTTAAAGAACATTTCTAAAGGGTTCTTTAGTAAAGACAATGGTTTTTGATTGTTTTGATTGATTGTTCTTTTCCTGAACAATCAAAGAGCCATTAGCATGCTTAAATGGTTCTTTGCATGGTGAAATCGTTCTTCAGATTGATGGAGAATGTGCTGTATATGGTTCTATATAGGACCAAAGAGAGTTCAAACAAACAAACACCTTCACAAGTAAAGTTAATGTCTGCCAATAAACTACTAAAGACCCCAAAACAGCTATAAACAAACAAACACCTTCACAAGTAAGGTCACTGTCTACCACTAAACTACTAAAGACCCCAAAACAGCTATAAATACCTTCACAAGTAAGGTCACTGTCCACCACTAAACTACTAAAGACCCCAAAACAGCTATAAATACCTTCACAAGTAAGGTCACTGTCTACCACTAAACTACTAAAGACCCCAAAACAGCCATAAACAAACACCTTCACAAGTAAGGTCACTGTCTACCACTAAACTACTAAAGACCCCAAAACAGCTACAAACAAACACCTTCACAAGTAAAGTTACTTTCTACCACTAAACTACTAAAGACCCCAAAACAGCCATAAACAAACACCTTCACAAGTAAAGTTACTTTCTACCACTAAACTACTAAAGACCCCAAAACAGCTACAAACACCTTCACAAGTAAAGTTACTTTCTACCACTAAACTACTAAAGACCCCAAAACAGCTACAAACACCTTCACAAGTAAAGTTACCTTTCTAGCACTCATCCTCAAAGGAAATAAGATGTGAAGGAAACTGATGCTAAGCCCAAAAACCTAAATAAAATAAAATAAAATAACTGAAGAAACAAACAACAAACAAACACACAAATAAATACTGAATTCACCGGCAAAGTCATTTCCTACTGCTCAACTAGCACTGAAGTATTCTATAGCAAGCACTATTGTAATTGTTTATAGTGAAATAATCTCTAAACATTATACTTCACTGTGATCCTTTCTAAGTCACTTATACAGTTGTATGCGTAAGTTTGGGCACCCTGGTCAAATCTGTAAAGTGTAAATAAGTGAAGACATCCTCTATGGAGAACACACGTCTGCACATTTTAATGCACAATTACTGTTTATTCACTAGATTTAACACCCTGGAGAAAAAAAAATTAATAAAAATAAAATGTGGTGTGTGCAAAAGTCATGGCACATTGTATATTTCATGTTTTATTTTTTTTCCAATATGCTAATCAAATAATTAGAGGCTGTGCACTAAAAATGTGTGGCTCACTGCACTTTGAATAAAGGAACAATGGACAACAGAAGCAACAGCTGGATATCCATCCATAGTAAACAAACATGTTTTTTTATTTGTAATATTCCTGAATCAAACACTTGGACCATAACAGGCACTGGTCAGACCAACGAAGCACCTATAA